AATCGAGACTTTCGCTTTCCTGATAATCTGGGATTCCACATTTTCGATAGACAACTCAATACCAATTTCCGTTTCTGCTCTCCTGATACACAAAATTTGGATTATCGCCATTTTGAAACAAGGATTTACATGTTCGATAGACAACTCAATACCGTTTTTTGTTTCTGCTTTCCTGATACACGAATCTTCGCTCTCTGATATTTGGGGATTCCACATTCTCGATGGACAACTCAAAACCAATTCTCGTTTCTACTCTCCTGATAGACGAATTTTGATTTTTGCCTTCTAGAAATCGGATTCCGCATTTTATATTGACAACTCAATACCCTTCTTCGTTTCTGCTCTCCTGATATACTAATTTAGATTATCGCCTTTCTGAAAGCAGTATTTGCATTTTCAATAGACAACTCAATTTCAATACCGTTCCTCGTTTCTGCTCTCCTGATACATGAATAGAGATTTTCGCTTTTCTGATAATCGGGGATTCTACATTTTCGATGGACAACTCGATTCCAATTCTCGTTTCTGCTCTCCTGATACACGAATTTAGATTCTTGCCATCTTGAAATCGGATTCCGCATTTTATATTGACAACTCATTACCCTCTTCTTCGTTTCTGCTCTCCTGATACAGTAAATTCAGATTCTCGCCATTTAGAAACAAGGATTTACATGTTCGGTAGACTACTCGATACCGTTTTTTGTTTCTGCTTCCCTGATACACGAATCTTCGCTCTCTCATATTTGGGGATTCCACATTTTCGATGGACAACTCAATTCCAATTCTCGTTTCTGCTCTCGTGATACAATAATTTAGATTTTTGCCTTTTTGAAATCGGATTCCGCATTTTATATTGACAACTCAATACCCTTCTTCGTTCCTGATAACTCGATACCCCTCTCCGTTTCTGCTCGCCTGATATACTAGTCTAGATTCTCGCCTTTCTGAAACCAGTATTTCCTTTTTTGATAGGCAACTAAATCTCAATACCGTTCCTCGTTTCTGCTCTCCTGATACTTGAATCGAGATTTACGTTTTTCTGATAATCGGGGATTCCACATTATCGATGGACAACTCAAAACCAATTCTCGTTCCTGCTCTCCTGATACACGAATTTAGATTTTTGCCTTTTTGAAATCCGATTCCGCATTTTATATTGATAAGTCAATACCCTTCTTCGTTTCTGCTCTCCTGATATACTAATCTAGATTTTCGCCTTTCTGAAACCAGTATTTGCATTTTCGATAGACAACGCAATCTCAATACCGTTCCTCGTTTCTGCTCTCCTGATACTCGAATTGAGATTTTCGCTTTCCCGATAATTGGGGACTTATATTTGCGATGGACAATTCAATACCGATTCTCGTTTCTGTTCTCTTGATACACGAATTCAGATTTTTGCCTTTTTGAAATCGGATTCCGCATTTTCTATGCACAACTCAATACCCTTCTTCGTTTCTGCTCTCCTGATATATCAATTACTAATCTAGATTTTCGCCTTTCTGAAACCAGTATTTGCATTTTCGATAGACAACTCAATCTCAATAACGTTCCTCGTTTCTGCTCTCCTGATACTCCAATCGAGATTTTCGCTTTTCCGATAATCGGGGATTCCACATTTTCGATGGACAACTAACTCATTACCAATTCTCGTTTCTGCTCACCTGATATACTAATCTAGATTTCCGCCTTTCCGAAACTAGTATTTGTATTTTCGATAGATATCTCAATCTCAATACCGTTCCTCGTTTCTGCTCTCCTGATACTTGAATCGAGATTTTCGCTTTTCTAATAATCGGGGATTCCACATTTTCGATGCACGACTCAATATCAATTCTCGTTTCTGCTCTCCTGATACACGAATTTAGGTTTTTGCTTTTTCGGAAACGGATTCCGCATTTGATATGGACAACTCAATACCCTTATTCGTTTCTTCTCTCCTGATATAGGTACTAATCTAGATTTTCGCCTTTCTGAAACTAGTATTTGCATTTTCGATAGATAACTCAATCTCGATACCGTTCCTTGTTTCTGCTCTCCTGATACTTGAATCGATATTTTCGCTTTTCTGATAATCGGGGATTCCACATTATCGATGGACAACTCAAAACCAATTCTCGTTTCTGCTCTCCTGATACACGAATTTATATTTTTGCCTTTCTGAGATCGAATTCCGCATTTTATATAGACAACTCAATACCACCCTTCTTCGTTTCTGCTCTCCTGATATATTAATTACTTATCTAGATTTTCGCCTTTCTGAAACCAGTATTTGCATTTTCGATAGACAACTCAATCTCGATAACGTTCCTCGTTTCTGCTCTCCTGATACTTGAATCGAGATTTTCGCTTTTCTGATAATCGGGGATTCCACATTATCGATGGACAACTCAAAACCAATTCTCGTTTCTGCTCTCCTGATACACGAATTTAGATTTTTGCCTTTTTGAAATCGTATTCCGCATTTCATATGGACAGCTCAATATCCTTCTTCGTTTCTGCTCTCCTGGTACACAAAATTTAGATTCTCGCCTTTTTGAAACCAGGATTCACATGTTCGATTGACAATTCAATACCGTTTCTTGTTTCTGCTTTCCTGATACACGAATCTTCGCTTTCTGATATTAGGGGATGTCACATTTTCGATGGACAACTCAAAACCAATTCTCGTTTCTGCTTCCCTGATACACGAATTTAGATTTTTGCCTTTCTAAAATCGGATTCCGCATGTCATATTGACAACTCAATAACCTTCTTCGTTTCTTCTCTACTGATACACAAAATTTAGATTCTCGCCTTTTTGAAACAAGGATTTACATGTTCGATAGACAACTCAATACCGTTTCTTGTTTCTGCTTTCCTGATACACGAATCTCCGCACTCTGATATTTGGGGATTCCACATTTTCGATAGACAACTCAAAACCAATTCTCGTTTCTGATCTGATAGTTCTGATACACGAATTTAGATTTTTGCCTTTTTGAAATCGGATTCCGCATTTTATATTCACAACTCAATACCCTTCTTCGTTTCTGCTCTCCTGATATATTACTAATCTAGATTTTCGCCTCTCTGAAACCAGTACTTGCATTTTCGATAGACAACTCAATCTCGATACCGTTCCTCGTTTCTGCTCTCCTGATACTTGAATCGAGATTTTCGCTTTTCCGATAATCGGGGATTCCACATTTTCGATGGACAACTCAATTCCAATTCTCGTTTCTGCTCTCCTGATACACGAATTTAGATTTTCGCCTTTTTGAAATCGGATTCCGCATTTTATATTGACAACTCAATATCCTTCTTCGTTTCTGCTCTCCTGATATACTAATCTAGATTTTCACCTTTCTGAAACCAGTATTTGCATTTTCGATAGACAACTCAATCTCAATACCGTCCATCGTTTCTGCTCTCCTGATACTCGAATTTACATTTTCGCTTTTCGATAATCGGGGACTTATATTTGCGATGGACAACTCAATACCGATTCTCGTTTCTGTTCTCCTGATACACGAATTCAGATTTTTGCCTTTTTGAAATCGGATTCCGCATTTTCTATGGAAGGTACAATACCCTTCCTCGTTTCTGCTCCCCTGATACAAAAATTTAGATTTTTGCCTTTCTAAAATCGGATTCCGCATGTCATATTGACAACTCAATACCCTTCTTCGTTTCTGCTCTACTGATACACAAAATTTAGATTCTCGCCTTTTTGAAACAAGGATTTACATGTTCGATAGACAACTCAATACCGTTTCTTGTTTCTGCTTTCCTGATACACGAATCTTCGCACTCTGATATTTGGGGATTCCACATTTTCGATAGACAACTCAAGACCAATTCTTGTTTCTGCTCTCCTGATACACGAATTTAGATTTTTGCCTTTTTGAAATTGGATTCCGCATTTTATATGGACAACTTCATACCCTTCTTCGTTTCTGCTCTCCTGATATATTACTAATCTAGATTTTCGCCTCTCTGAAACCAGTATTTGCATTTTCGATGGACAACTCAATCTCGATACCGTTCCTTCTTTCTGCTTGATACTTGAATCGAGATTTTCGCTTTTCCGATAATCGGGGATTCCACATTTTCGATGGACAACTCAATTCCAATTCTCGTTTCTGCTCTCCTGATACACGAATTTAGATTTTCGCCTTTTTGAAATCGGATTCCGCATTTTATATTGACAACTCAATATCCTTCTTCGTTTCTGCTCTCCTGATATACTAATCTAGATTTTCACCTTTCTGAAACCAGTATTCGCATTTTCGATTGACAACTCAATCTCAATACCGTTCCACGTTTCTGCTCTCCTGATACTCGAATTGAGATTTTCGCTATTCCGATAATCGGAGACTTATATTTGCGATGGACAACTCAATACCAATTCTCGTTTCTGTTCTCTTGATACACGAATTCAGAGATTTTTGGCTTTTTGAAATCGGATTGCGCATTTTCTATGGACGGTTCAATACCCTTCCTCGTTTCTGCTCTCCTGATACACGAATTTAGATTTTTGCCTTTTCGAAATTGAATTCGGCATTTTATATGGACATTTCAATACCCTTCTGAAACCGGTATTTGCATTTTCGATAGAGAACTCGAGACAGTTTTTCATTTCTGCTCTCCTGATACACTAATCTAGATTTCCCCTGGAATCCTTTGAATTCTAATTATGGATTTGAAGGAAACGGCAATTTTGAATAGCCTTCTCATCACTAGTACATAAAATTCACAAAAATGCATCGACCTAACTAATGTGATTTTGCGCAAGTGATTATGTTTCTTCTTATTTGCCGTTATGGCAAGGAACCAGTGTACCAGTGATATATGGAAACAATAGGTACCTATATGAATTTTGAAATTTGTTCGAAATTAAGTCCCTGACAGTCTTCTCCCTGTTGGATCCTGCGTATAAGGAGATGGAACGACTTTCTGTATAAGGAAAGATAAGGATCATGAGTAACTTGATAATTGGAAGCAATAAAACAATTAAGTAATAATAATAATAATTTATTTAATACAAACAAATTTGTTGTAATATTTTCGATTAGGTATCAATAATAATCACATTATGTTACATTATTTAACAATTCCTATATTAGTACATAGAAGAACAACAAATAATAAAATTATATAGCGACGTTCATAACAATCAATGTCGAGTGAATCTGACAAGATTGAAGTATATAAGACTCTGCCTGATCGACTTTTTTACATGAAACTTGGATATGAGCACCTAAATCAAAAGTTCCTGGTCCAGTTACAACAACAGCAAGGTGAACTGTGTCAGTAGTCAACGGATGTAATGTTCTCAATATCTTGGTATTACCCAACCAACAAAAGTTACTGGAAGCATTTGTATAAAAGAGATTTGATTTCCTTATCGTAGGAGGTTTGACACTGAAACAAAATAATTTTTTTCAAGTTGATAGGGAGTGCGGCAGGTGATCGGGATTGTGGCATGTGAAAATAGCACACTGTAGAGATCATTAACATCTGAACGTCCTTCATACAGGGTGACTCATGGTCGATGGTAAGTTAGTATGGAGAGGCAACGAAGGATTTTTCAGAAAAATGTTTACATTATATCACCTGCTCTCAATCTTAAATATTTTCAAAATTGCGACGTTGCCGCTTCTATAAAAAAAATCTTAGCAATTTTTTTAATGATATTAACAAATTTTTAGAATCGCCTTCTCATGATACTTTTTTGTTGATAATTCTCTATCGGTTTTCGAGATGAACAATAATTTGTGTTGAATATGGTCCAAAACATAGCCCAAACTAAACCTAAGTAAATTAGGGCTCTGAATTCATGAAGAGTTGATATTTTAGTGGTATTTTGGATAGGCCTAATCCTAATGTATTCAATTCAAACCGAGAAATCATCTCCATATCATCACATTTATAGGTAATTCATTGATAGTTATTGATAGTGTTTCACAAAATCTTCCACAATAAACGCAATTTTTGAAGTTATATATTATGCAAGGACAATGTGATCAAATGATTGCCAAAAATTGCAGAAAATGTAACCAAATGTATCCTGAATTAACACCAACGAATGAGAGGAATTTTGTAAGATAACAAAATAATTTCATCAACTATATGACTCAGTTTCCATGAAACAACTGTATAAAAATCAGCTTATCTTTATGTGAAAAGCTAGATTCACTGTGAAAGGACGGTATTAGGAGAAATAAGTGACAAAAGTATAAACAAAAGATTACATTTTCACAATGAATGCTCGAAATGTTGCCCATTACATTCCAAACATTTTAAAATATGCTTGTACGCGACTCGTGGTTGCTTTTTAATTTCATGTGGGTCCAGATCTTTAATACACCCCACTATTCGCCATCGCAGTTCTTCGTTGGTAGGTACTGGAGTTCCTTTTCTTCTTCTTTTGAAACATCCCATAAAAAAGTCAAGCGTCATGAGATCAGGTGATCTCGGTGGCCAATATCACGACGTTAAACGCCCAAACCAACGATCTTTAAACATTTCGTAAAGTTCCCTGGAAACTTTCTTGGTGAAATGAGCTGACGCCCCCTTTCTCTAAAGGCAAACTTTAGAGGAAATCGGTAGCAGTCGTTCTCAATATTAGAATATATCTCTCAGCATTCAGTATGCCCTCATAAATGAAAAAGCTGATTTTATTATTTTTTTAAATACAGAAAACATTCAGGTCAAATTTTGATTGAAAACCGATCTCTTTTGTCACATGAGGATTATGATCAGCCCAAATATACTTATTCCTTCTATTGAAAATCCCATTCCTTGTTAATTTTGATTTGTTGCTCCAAATTATTTTCGATAAAAATTTGGGATCCGCCTGGGTACCTATGTATTGAAAATGCACTCTCCGCTCGAAGTCTTTTGATTTGATAACTTGAACTTTACTGGATTGATACGGATGCATTTTGTGATTTCCCATTTTTTTTGTAATGAAGCATGTAATACACCTAAATCTTTTTCTGCACTACGAATGTATGCTCCTGGATATGCATGAAAATATACCAAAACGTCAACAATATTTTCTTCACAAAAAGAGAGAGAAACTCGAAGTAATTACCACAATAGTTCATAAAATGAACGAAAATGGTAGATAACGAGAGAAAAACAAATACTTTTCTGACTATATGCCACGCAGAACATTCGATTACATCCTCCCGAAATCTATGCAATAATTCTTATTCGCGAGAATCACGAAGTGTGCGGCCTCTGGTGGCAAATTTTACAAGTCTTGCGAGCATGAACAACAATGACAACAAATATGGCGACCATTATTTTGAGTGAATTTTGATTATGTTTTTCTGAGGTTTACTTTGTGTCTGAGTGCTGGTATACCGTATATATAATATAATAATTGTGAAATAATAGAGAACATGAAATTAATCAATCAAAGTGATGTTATAGAAAATCATTCTGGACCTATTACAAATGATGATGATGATGATATCTTGGATGATATGGAAATTGGAACTGGAGATGAAATATTACACTGGAGCACAGGTCGAGATTTTGAGAGTGATGGGAAATGTGTGTAGTTCAATCATGGAGATGAAGTTTTCTAGCCGTCACAATAACATCAAGAAGAACAGCAAACAGAAAACCAATTGACCAAAATGGAAGAAGTGGACATAGAAATTGGGCAAGGAGGAAAACTTCTACTAGTTTATGAATAAAAATGGTGAAAGATATTATTCCCAAATATCAAATGACAATGACACAATAACAATATGTCCAAAATGTATGAGTATGTTTTGTTGTTGCCCCATTTTGATAAAAATTCACAAACTGATAAGTGAATTACTGTGTGATCAAACTATAATCCATGAATGTGTTTCCTGTTGTTGTTGTTATGCTGTATTTGGTTGTATCTTGTGAAAGTAAAGGAAAATCAGTATTCCCTTTCATAATTATGTGTTTTATTTGGAAATTATTCAATTGTCAAAGTGAATATTCCAGAACCTCATTGTTCCCTAATGAAAAAACTCGAATTTTTGCATGAACTTTTATTGTTTACAAAGAATCCAGTACCTACCTTAAATAATATACATATTCTGTAGCACAGTTAGAATCATTATATAAATGTTGGCTGCAATGATTCGATCTTAATAACTTGTTTATGTGAATCATGATATTGTTCATTCTTAGCAGTCTCTCCAACCATATCTTCTGTTCCAACCCCTTCACTAGAATTCCATCACCTTAATAACAGCCAGTGATATTTCCTGATGAATTCAATTATTCCTTCATATGTTTGAAAACAGTGGAATTGTAATGTGAAATCAATGGAATACCACCATTGTCCACATCAAAATGGCAATTTCTCTGCACAAAATGTTATTTCTTCCATACAGGAAACCTTGAACCTCAATTATGAAGATTTCACGAAGTCAACTCATTCACTATTTCGCAGAAAGATTGCCAAACAACCAATTCGGGAGGATGTAATCCAATGTTCAGCGTGGCATATAGCCAGGAAAGTAGTTGTTTTTCTCTCGTTATCTACCATTTTCGTTCATTTTATGAACTATTGGAGTTTCTCTCTCTTTGTGACCATTGCATTCCACTTTGAGTATTTGGTTTTTCCTAGTTCAATATTGTCTTCATTTGAAGGTTTTGGTGATGTAATTTTGCATGGTTAAGCCATATAGTTGATGAAATTATATTGTAATCTTTCAAACTTCCTCTCGTTCCTTTTAAAAAATATACATTTGTTGCAGTCGGTCTGAGCTATGCGCGTATCTGCAGTACATATTTTTTCATTATTTTCAAAAAATTTGTTGTGCTTACCTATAGCTACTATTATATACTTACACCTATTTTGGTTCTCTCAGTATCTTTTGTATTTTTTTGTTGTTTTACATGTTAAAAATTTCAACCCAAATCGGTTAAGCCGTTTAGTAGTTGACATACCATACCATATGAACGTAGGGTCAACTTTTGTCATTCTAATGGTATGAACAAATACAAACTTGTCATATGTTGGTAAGAAAAGATTTCAAGTCTCACTTCTATATTAGATCGTAATTTTTTTATGCAATATTTGATAGGTTAACTACAGACTTTGGACGGCACGACAAAAACCTGTTCAAAGTAATTTTCAAGTTTCCTAGAGTTCTAGTTATTCATCTGAATCGATTCTCGCAGACAGAAAGGTTCAGAAGGAAACTGAACGCTTCACAGTATATCTTACCATGCCGATACGATCTACCATGCTTTCATTGGAATACACTACATAGGCAAAGTATTCGGTCGTGGTCGGGCCTGGCAGCTACGTAGGAGAGAGGAAAGCGGTATGGCTCGCTTTCTTCCTCCTATGAAATAACGATATCGCACGAGTTATTTCTCATGTAGGAAGTAAACGTGAAAGCACGATATACCATATGCCATTTCGATTGAAATGATACCACTACAGCGGACATTATATGGCCTTACCCTATTCTAATAATTGGCATGTTCTCAATACCGAAATATCTCGTCAGTGGGAAACAGAATATGTTCTATTTCACCAACATGATGGGTTCAATTCCTGAATATTTGGATGATGCTAACTGAAAATAGGGGTAGAGGGTCTTGACATTCATAACTATTGTGTCAAAGGTATCATCAAGTGCCTATCGACTGAAGATCCCAGTGAATGAGATCCTGTTATAATAAATGATCCAACTCTCTGTACCTTCTACAGTGTCACTTGGCTTTTTCATACCTTATCACTATCCTTTTAGTGACTGAAAGAGCTGAACTAATTGTCAACAGTGTTTCAAATAATGTACTAATGTTGCTGAAATAATACTTAGACAGAACCAACATTTCTTACAACTATTATAAGGCGAATGAGGAACAGAAGTCAATTAACAAAATGATAAGGAGATTCAAGGAAATATTTGTGTTTATGGCTCATGGCTCTACTTACACGAATTTAGGTTCTTATTGTTGGATTTTATAAATCAACATTAGACAAAGAAAATCGTTTTGTTATTTGAATAGGTGAATTACTCGGAAGGAAGAAATATCTAACAAAAGTGAAATCAATGGATGACATGGATGTTTTATCGTCCTACTGATCAAGAATAAGAATAATTTCTAAGAATTTCCACTCACCTTGGTTCAGTAGTATTCACAACTACAGACAGTACATTGCGATCCACTATACTATGTAAAAGAATCTTTACAGGCACTATACACATCTTCTTCTCTTCGAAATTATGTTCAACAACCGAGTGGTACACCAAGTTGTAGGAAACTTGCTTCTGAGCAATCTGAGCAGCTTCCTCCTCGGATATCACTTTATCACTAATGTCGATAATAGGGTCGGATAGAATATGTTCCATTTGTATTACATCTTCTTCCTTTCTATTAATTTCAACAGGTATTTGCGTTTGACCATTGACTATTCGCTTTTTGTTGCCTTCTATTGCCAATGCTTGCCACTGCAGTAGTAACAGGCCATCTTTATTTGGTTTGAAACTGAATGTGTCAAAATCATCGAACATGGTAAGAGGGGGTTTTTCTGCTTTTCGGGCAAATGCTAAGTAAGCGTTTGTGTGAATCTGTATCGACTTTTTATCTCTACTAAGCGGTATACTGGAATATTCACTCTGATCCTTGACAGCTCGCCTTGCTTTAAGTAGAATATGGGCGGATTGTTGGGAATGGAGATTGATGTACTTTGGTGTTACCATATCTTTAGTTAGAGTCCAGTGTTTGCTGAGTAACCCCACGTTGAGCAACATCACTTCAGTGAGCACTGAGTTTTGCACTTTATTTAAATTTGTTATTTTCAATGCTAAGGCTAGTTCTTCTACTATCTTCGAATTATGACTCGCTTGGGTAGAAACATCTACGCTAATTGATTCTTGCACCATCAGGTTCCAACTATGTCTTACCAGTCTATATCTGAAAAAAAAAGTGTTCATGACAACAGAGTTGAATTATCTACTTTTCAAAGAATTCAATCAGCTATACACGGTGTTTTCAAACGCGAAGCGACTTTTTCAACAGGATGTAGGAATAAGTCAGAAAAATCACAAAAATAAAAATTGCGAAGATTTTCAATTTTTAAACTAACGAAGATATTGGAACTTTCCATTTTGAGGAAATGTGGAAGAGATCTGAGCACAGTATGGTGCGTATAATCGATTTTATGAAAATGACACATGTTTACAATAATAAACATGCGGCTTTCTCGTTTTATAATTGAAACAACAATCAAATAACTTGGTGAATAAAGAGGACAAACATTGTCAATGAGTAGAAAATGCGTGTGTAACTGTGCGCCGATAGTAGTTATTGTTCATGCGTTTTGTAAACATACCATACCAATTTTGTGGATCAACTTATTGTAACGTGTTCTACATCCTGTTAAAACAGATGCAACACATTTGAGAACCCTGTATATATTTATTAAAGATTTCCACAATATTCTTCAAAAACACTACATATTTCGCTAACACAGTGGCTTCTTCAAGTGGAATATTCGTATAATAAACTAATCCAACATTTACTTTATTGAATTATACTTTCTTTTCAAACTTGAAGGACTAGAATCACCTGTGGGAAGGCTAGCTAATCCTTCATTTCGGAAAAGCCTTTGCAGAAAATTTGGTGTGAAGGATTAACTTGATTTCAAATGATTAGGTATTTTTGGGGTGACGAGGTACTGTATCTCAGGAACTAATAGTCGTAGAAGTTTGAGGAAAAAAACCTCCAGAGGAAATCGACCAAGAAAAATTGCTGGAAATATTTTTTAAACCCATAGTCGTACCGTTAGGGGGCGTAATAGCTTCGATCGTATGAAAAATGGATTTTTTTCGAAAATTTTTCTATATAAGTTCAAAAATGAATACACTCACGTGAATGCCACCATAATAGTCCATGTTTTTGATTAAGTTCAAATGCATATTGTCTTTTGGCAATAGCAGCATTTTGCAGACATTCAAAATAAACTGCTAACACATCAAAAGCTTCCCCGTTCGTATAGGCATTTTTGAAATTTTAAGTAGGCTCTTTACAAATATGAATGTCAAAGGATGAACTATCTATTTGTGAATGTGAAGAATAACCGGTTCGTAATAAATGCGGTTTGGACATATTGTTGCAAATTTGATCTACTTTCTGAATCTAATAAAATAATCATATGGTTCCAAATTCAAAAAACTGCTAACTTTATGAAACACGCCCCCTTGCGAGGGCGGCAAGAACCCGTATGGCATGGATGGTTTTTTATTATATTCACCAAACCTTCCTCTACTGAACCAGACCAGACCAAAATTCCGTTAAGTCAATTCCAAGTTATCAACATTTACAGTCCAAAAAGTTTAGGATCCTCTGCCGCCTTCATTTAACGTCCTACAATAAAATAATGTTGATCAAAAAGATGGACTATTATGGTGGCATTCACGTGGGTGCATTCATTTTTGAACTTATATTGGAAAATTTTCGAAATATATCCATTTTTCATATGATCGAAACTATTACGCCCCCTAGCAGTTCGCCTATGGCTTTAACAAATATTTCCAGCAATGTTTTTAGGTCGATTTCCTCTGAAGGTTTTTTTTCACAAACTTCTACGACTTTTAGTTCCTGAGAAACAGTACCTCGTCACCCTTAATGAATCATCCGGCACATGTAAAATTTCGATATTGTCATCAAAACTATGATGTCCTTCTAATATATGATTATATAGCAGCGTTTGTTGAATGAGTCTCTTGTAGATGAAGGTTTTTTTTAAGATAGCTTAGACATTCAAGAATGAAAACACATGGGAATGTCAAAATGTCTAGATCTCTAAATGCTTGCCTACAGTCATCACGATAGGGTAAATCTGCAACAACTCTAACTGCCCGTCGTTGAATTTTGAAAACCTCAACAGTGCTCGCAGCATGTCCCCATACCAATATCGCATAAGAAATAGGAATTATAAACATCTCAGCTATGACTATGAGAGAAAAATAGCACTGTCTTACAACCATTCTGTGTACACACTGAGACAGATTTCTCAGAACAAAAATGTTTGTGTTTAGTTCATTGCATACTTTTTCTACATGTGGCCTCCAGTTTAATTGGAAATCTAAGAGAACTCCCAGAAACCCCACAGTAGGTGGAATCTCACAGTCAGGTAATTCCCGTGAAGTGACTAAAGTATTGAGTGTTTTAGTCTCGTTTAAGAAGAGGAGGTTTGTCGAGAACCAATTTTCGGCATTCGACTGTCCTTCTTTTGAAACCTCTAATACCTCATCATAGGATTTTGAAGTATACCTAATTGTGGTGTCATCTGCAAAGAGGGCGAATCTTGTAGGTTAATCTATACAAGGAAGGTCATTGATGTATGTTAGAAACAGAAGTGGTCCCAGAACTGATCCTCGGGGGACACCTACAGTTATAACGCTTCTGTTAGATTTCACTCCTTCATTTTGGACTACTTGAAACCTAATCGAGATATATAATTTCGGGATAGTTATGCTATTTTGATGAAAATTATATCGTTCAAGTTTCTCTAGGAGTAAAGAATGGGAGACACAGTCAAATGCTTTGCTGAGATCACAAAACGTGGTTTCCCAAGGCTTCTTGAATGTTAGAAACAAAGTCTAGAATGGCCGAGGTTGTGCTACGGTTTTTCCTGAACGCAAACTGACGGTCCGAAAAGATTCCATAAGATTCAAGGAACTGAACCATTCTCAATGCCATAACCTTTTCCATAACTTTTGAGAAAATTGGTAGAAGGGATATAGGCCTAGTGAAGGAATTATAGCAGAGGATTCTGAGGACCATTTCCCGTGGAAATATCTATAGAAAAGTGAAAGGTCGCAGACTTTTGTACTGTGTTCTAATGAGGTCAGATAGATAACCCACTAAAACTGGTACCTAGCTAGTCAACTGAGCGTCTGAACTGATAACTGCCAAGGACTATGTTTCACATAACATGAGCTTATCTTGACACCCTAGAAAGCTCTAATTCATCAATCTCCTTAGTACTGTTTCTATTTTTTCGATCAGAAGTATTCACAAAAGGTTCAAACCATGATCCCTTGGCAGAGGGAAGTAATTCAAACTGTTTGAGGTGATTTGATTTTGACTGAAAATGGGTTTCATTCTCATTTTGTGAATGATTATAAAATACTCTGTTGATATAAATTTATCAATTCATCTATCAAGATTGATCTACCAGCCTGGTTGACACAATCGTTTTGAAATTATAATTTTGAATAAAGGGGCATTTTTTCGTTGCAAATGACAAAACAAGATTTATTGCAATCATAAGTTCGAACCAGGAAAAAAATATTGCTTCACGGCCCGTTCAGCTCCATTCTAGTTATCTAGAATGAATAGCTTGTCATTTCAGTGGAAGTTAAAACAGTGAATACTGAAACATTGGAACATTGATTTCAAGCGGACTTTGAATGAATATGTATGAGTCATGTCTAAATAACGGAACATTCAAGTAAACCACTTACCTAGGAATGCTTGTCTTGACTACATTTTCATAATAAATAAGTAAATCTATCGAGGTAGGTCCCTTCACGTTCGGAGCCCTGATCCATATATGAATCGGTATCGTTTGCCCGGGTTCCAGTACATTTCCTGGTAGAGGCACTGACGTGAGATGATTTTTCCTGACGTACTTCTCCCTAGCTGCCGGAGTACTCAAATCGTGGGTACCGGAATGGTCAGTATCACACTTGAATTCACAGTTGCTGAGCAAATGTGGAACCGACGTAGCCATGAGGATGTTACGAAGCGGCACTGAGCTGGTGTTGCAAAAATCCACCGAGACTTTTTGCAATTCGTTCGCCAAGAAATCATGATGAATCTCGGAAAATACGACCTACAATAAAACATAAAATTAGATCAACGGATCTTGAAGAACTATATGAAACAGAGTCAGAAAGAAAATATTCGCTCCTCTTGTGTTTTTCTGGGTGAGCCAGATCGAATGTATCGTCCTGTGTCTTGTTATTGTTGTTATTTTGATCAGATGTTGATGAGCACAACTATTCATCAAAATCGTGATTCGGCATGAAATTACCTGTCGGATCACCAAACATTTACTATAAGTTTGATTCATTTTTCTCAGACCTGTGAGTCTGATCCTGATCTGATGATATTTTTTCAAATTATAGGTATATGCTCCAGAAACGTAACCATGCTACTTACTCCTGTTTAAATATATATATGAATATGTCGAGTGTCCGAATAAGTCCTTGTTTTTTCGCATAAAATCAAGAATACCAATAACAGCAAACTATGATTGCAAGCTGATTATAACCTCATTTACTCTTGAAATCCTGGTACTTGTTTCACTTTATTATAATATCATAATATCATATGGTACGCAATTTTATAGCATATCCTAACTGTCATATTACAGTTTCGCATTAGAAGAATTTGAACTAGTAAGCCGCTTTGCGCAGTCCAGGATCTCAATCCAATTGAACATTTGTGAGTATTCTTGGTAGGCAGGTGAGAGATCATCAGCCGTCAGAATAAATGAATAATTAAGAAGAAAGATTAATTTTGCTTACTTCCCTTGTGGAAAAGACATGGACCTCTTTGGAAACGCTGTCAAATCGACAATTGAAGAGGATTATTCGGATGTAACATCTTATTTATTTCGGCATGAGTAGCTCATGAGATAAAAAAATCAAATGAATTTGATGACATAACAATATACCCATAATAACATTTGTACTTATTGGTGAGGTACAAAACAATATAAGTAAGAGGATATGGGAATTAATCTAAGATAAACGTGTCTGATAAGTTTCATGAACTCATTTAGCATTATGAATCTTAATCAGACTATTATGTGAACAAATATGTGCGGCTTTTGTGTGATGAATTTTCGCCGTTTCTATAAATAGGTAACTATGTTCTTGCAGTGTCAATTCTGTAAGGAGAAGATGGTTACAAATATCCTACCCTGAAATGTCACAGGAACACGAAATTTTTTTCAGTGGCGTTCTCGTTTGAGGCTTGCTTTCGTTGATGTGTTCAAAACATCGGAAATATCAAATAACCTCACAAAGACGTTAAATGATGTATAATCATGTTACGTGAGAGCTAATTTATTATTGCACATGCACACATACTTGTGGGAAACCGTGTCGTAGGAACAGTGTTCGGGTGTATGTAATGAAAAAGGCACTTCTACAATGAATAGCGAGTACAACCACTTTATTCTATCAAGGATCAACGTAGACTGACTAATACAATTCTCTCTTATATCACCTCAACCTTAATCATCTACCAGAAATATATGAATCACAGAACGATAACGATGATCACATAGCCAACAATAATGATAATAATAGTACTAATAAAATACAAAATCGATTATATAGAAATCGCGATTTAGTAGATATATCAAATATATCTATCTACTATACAGGGTGGTCCAACGAAAACTTTACACACCGATTTGAGGGCTTTAAAATGAAAATCCGGAAAAACGTTCAAACCCGTCGATTTCAGATTCGAAGGGGAACGACTTGTCTGCTTTCCTTATCCTCGTAACTTGACCCCCCTACCAGAGGGAAACACAGCCCCCTGTTTTTGAATAGGGATGAGAGGTGTTGTGATACCTCATTTTGAAGATTTCATCGATTACTATCCGACCCTCTAATTTCGCATCAAAATTTCCATCGATAACGAAATGAGAGATAAAATAGTGGAAAAGGCAATGTCGAATTTACCTCGAAAATATTTTTCTTATTAGAGTAGGATTCGAAAAGTATTCATTTAAAAAGTTTGTGAACGCACTATCTGTTCGATTTACCTCAGTTCATCGTGAATATACAATCGATTGGACACGGTTAAAACGTTGTTGAATCAATTTCTGGATTACTATAACAAAAACAACATCTTTACTATACATCAATATGGATTCCGAAAACATGTCAACAATTGATGCCATAAAGTCCTTTGATTTTTCTTCATTGTTACACAATACTCCAATTGATACATTGTACTTCTACCTAGGGTCACTTGATGCAAACTGACGTATTTGTCATCTAACAGGGTGCGGACAGATCATAGCTCCATTCTCTTTTAATCATCTAGTGACTTTGGTATCGTGTATTGGCGTCCCTGACATGACATTGCTGTCACTTCACATTCATAGGCGTTAAAAGAGATCTTACAAAATTTCAATTTCATACTTGATCTTAATAGGACATTATTCAATTCTGTTTTGGAAGAATGGTAAAATGTGCTGCGTTAGGCTGTATCAATCAGATGGATGGCAAATTTGAATTTGTCAGCTTTCCATCAAATGCGAATGAACTTAAAACATGGAAAGTGAAGTGACCGAATGAGGAAAATTTGTAAATACATCAGCAAAATATTCGAGGTAAAATTAATACTAAATCACATATCATGCTTTCTCATTGTGCCTATAACTATCCACTCCACAAGTTTTGAATGCATCTTAGTGGAAACAGTTTTGATTTAAACGGAGGATTAAAGGAAGAGGCATATGCTCTACCATATAAAAAATTATACCTACATTCAGGAAATATTAAGTGTTCGTGAAAAACTGCAAAAATGATTCCCAACATGAATATATACAGCGCACATGACATATGAGCACATTAGTTTGAATACCTCATAAGGCTTAGTCTGAAATCAAAATCAATGTATTGATAGGTACTGCCTACTAACAGTTCCATTTGGTTAAACATACTAAACTTTCAGAAAAATATGCTCACTGCCTTACATAGATTATGCTGGAGCTGAAAAATCAAAAACTCGAAAATTACTGGTCATCATTTTGATAATATATATAGAGTTGAATCAGGAACACCAAGTGGAAATTACGTATGATACGCCAATGTCCTCAATATAACCTAAAAAACAACAAATGTCAGAAATCTAGTGTTTATCCCCAGAAATGAATAAAGATGGAACTATATAACTGTTTCACAAACACTTTAGAGTGAGAGGAGACGAGGATCTGTCGGTACTCTGTTAAGATGACAAATACCTCAATGTACATCAAGGGACCCTACTTCTACCAGAGAATGAACTTGTTTACTCACCTGAAGACATGGCGCAGGTGGAACCACATCCACTTCTATAACTACTTTTTTATTTTCATTATCTACACTATTTTGTACATTTTTTGCAGTGGATTCTGGGACCAATATCAACTGCTTTCCTTTGATGAAACTCGTTTCCATAGCAGCATTAGAACCAGTCAATGTATAGCAAAATCCATTAATTGTCATGTGCCCTGTCATTAGAGGCGTCAATGAAAGAATCAGTTCTTGTTTAGAGGCACCTTCAATAGCTACAGCCTTAGTAATATACGTTTTGATGTATTCATCTTTCTTGCTATCCATAACTTCATTGGAAACTATGTCTGTTCCAGTGTTGAACGTCCATAACAAGTAGATGTCTTTCAAGTGTAAAAGCGTTTGCAGGGTGTTGAACAAATTCAAAAATATTTGTATGGGTTCGTTTATGATAGCGACTGGTTTGCTCTTCCCTAGCTTATTCGCGGTATGGAGTGTCACAATTGGTTTGAAAACTGAAGGTTGACCACCCTCTGCTTCTTGAACAAGCATTTCTTCTAATTTCATCCACTTGGTTTCAGCGCTTTGGTCAGCCGCACTGTTGAAGGTGATACCAAGAGCCGAAACTTTACCTGGCGTGGAAAGTGGTCTTGTTGGTCCAACTAATAACATTAAAGAATTGACATCTAATTCTGGTACTGGCAATATGGGGTTTTGCACTTGATCAGCTTCACTTTCGGTCTTAAGCTTACTCTGGAATTCGAAAAAAAAAACATCCATTTGAATTGCATTAAGGGTTATATAACATAGAACATCTACAGCCGAAATTGAAAATGAAAGAAACTGCCTATTATGATCGTTCTTATTCCAGTAAGACTAAATTCCTGGGACAAATTTTGGATGCATGAAACATCTAAGATTATTTAACGAAAAAGTGTGACTACTCTTCTATGAGTAATTATCAAACTTGGGTTCGCTGCTGGCTTCTGCAGACATTGATTATTTTTCAATCCTGCATTTGTAATACAAAATAAACCATTTGTGGAATGTGAAGAAATTACGGAACGCTGTGAACCGTTATTTAATTTACTGGACGGTAGATAGAACAGACAATTTTTTTTATTTTTTGTTATCGCTTGGAGCGCACCCTAATCATCATCTTTGACATGAGATCTAGTTCAGTACTGGTTCAATTGAAACTTTGTCAAAGAATTTTCTCTTGAACAATTGATTATGGTATGTTCTAATGTAAGTGGCCAAATATCAGACAATCCACTACTACCCACCGGCCTTTTATGGCTCACCCCAAATCAAATCCCACCCAACAAGTCGAATCATTCAATTAAACTGATGATCTTGTCAGGTCAAATTCTGCCTAGGCCTTCCTGGTAATAGAGACCACTGAGATTGTGCCAATTTAGTTTGAAGTACCCAGTGTGATAAGAGTTTTCAAGTTATTCCTATCGAGTATTAGTTTTTTCTTTCCTGATTGCAAAGGATATCTTATGAAGGCATTTGGAGGGGCAAATTTTGCATCTGAGATCAATATATGAGTACTGCAATTTCTTTCCACAATTTTTCAACTCATAACTATTTCGAAATATCTATTGTATAATCATTCAGTATATTTCTCAGGTAACAGTGTGAGAAAACTCAAAGTCATTTCCACAAAATATTCAATGAAACAAAAATGGTTGATAACCCGAGAACCCAAGAAACTAGTATGCAGGTGGTTAGCCGTTACCTGGTTTCCATGCCCCATAGACCAAGAGATGGTGAAAAATTTTTCCGGTCCATTGTACCAAGTATGGCGACCCTTCAGGAGGCTATTTACGTAATGACGAGGAGAAAAATTATGGTCATAGCGCTGGTACCGGCGACCCAATCGCGTGGAGGTTAATGTAACGCGTCAGATTAGGAGTATCGAACGATTTGCGCCACACAAATTCTTTTATTTTCCGAAAGTTGATGAAAAAATAAGTAGGCGGTAGCGTAATACGATACTTCTCCGGCAATTCAACCATCTTGACTAGGCTAATTTGAAATTTTTTGCACAGCTCATCATCTCCGAGTAGCAATTCACGAAAGTCACCATGCCATACTTTTCCGACGGTTCCAAAGGGCAGCCATAACGCCGCAAAGATGTGAATTTCTTATTTTTCAAAGCATTACTTGAGAGGAAATCAGTTGCCTTCAAGACGAAGAAATCAAAAATGTTATCTGTTACAGCCGTAGTAAAATTATAGTGTATAATTCGCAAGGAATGCTAATTTCCCACTCGAATGATTGCACTTCATTCTCGTGGGAAATCAATATCATTCCATGCTCGTTAAACAATATACTGTAAACGCCCATTCTCTGTACAATGAAACAACTACTGATGAAAAATTGACTTATCACAGAATTCAGAGAGCAAGTGATCACAAGAATGCTTGAACGAATTGCTACGACGGATGCTGAATCCAAGAATTACAAATAATGAAGTGGAGGGAAGAAATGTACGTGTATGATGTGCAGAATGTTTTAAAAAATATGGGAGAAAAGGGAGGCATATTGAAGGGAAACTTGTTATAGCCTCCCAAGTTATAACCAAATGTTCAGTTTGTGAAACATTTTCGTGCCGTAAATATTTCAATGATACTCACTAATTTTCATTCAATATGCTGTTCAGTTTCTTCAGTTTTTTCATTACAATTTTACATTGAATACGTTGTTTTACTGTACATTCATATATTTCCGATGATATTTCAAAGTAAACATCTATAACTTCCGTGTGGGCCAGAACTTAATTTTCGCCCTACACGGCAAGAGTGCGAGCTAATGACACAGAACGCATTGACCGATATAAGCTTCCGTGTATTTTTATTATACACATTGGATAGGACAGTGTCAAGATCATTAAAATAGACAGGTTGCAGCATAACTTTTCAAGGTCGCAATGGATGCATGATCATGACGTCACGGGAGTGCCCCGAGCCCCGCCCATCCCGAACGATTCTTTACTCTTTTGAATTTCAAAAAGCTTTCGATATTCGCGCGCGAGCTTTGTTTCTTTTCTTATTACTTTCAAATTAGTTTAATCTTTTTAGTTAGTTTTCAGTTTGATGATTCATCTTTATGATTATTCAGCATTTTTTGATTGTGCAATTGAATATCAGTTGGTCATATATCTAAAACAAGGTAAGTAAATCTATTTTATGAAATATGTTTATAATAACCTATAATTATTTGTGATAAAAACGAACAATCCTTTTAATCCCTTCCAGATGCCAGGTGGGACAGTTTTTAGTGTGGCTGGCTGCAAGAAGAATTCGAGATACTCCAAAAAGAACGAAAACCTGAGATTTTTTCGTTTTCCGAGAACTCCCGAAATATGTGAGGAAGTGCAATAGGACAGATCCATTTTCGCCAAAATGCAAACGTATTTGTAGCAAAACTGCTCCAAAGATATTGAAAAGAACAGGTCGTGAAGTGTATGCTTGTGTGGTCCAAATTTGCCAAGTGTACTAATATTATATTTTTTTTGTAGCTGTACCATCACTATTCCTCTCACCTTCAGAAGACCATCAAGAATCAATTTCTGTTTCTTCAGAATCAGCTGACACCAAGAAAAGTTCAGAAAATCAAATCCAGGAAGTGGAGGTAGAAAACGAAATTAATAATGGTACTTATTGCTACTTATATTTTAAATTCAGATGATTCTGCAATCAGATGGGCTTAGAGAATATCTATAAAATGTTGGTATAGTATTATATAGGTACTGATTTTATTCATTTCCAGAAGTTGTTCCTGACAAACTGAAAGTTTTTGAAAAACAATATGGACTCATTCGAATAGGACATGATATATTAGAAAGTGGAAGAATTACAGTCAGAAAATGATTCTTTGAGGAATGACATGAAAAAGAGCAACAATGAATTCAATATGACCTCCAACCTTTATAACAGTTAATAATACTCCAAAGTCATGCTTTTTTGTCATTATAATGAATGTAGGACTTTAACATTTCAAAACTTAAACATTGTATTCTCCTAATAAGGTGTATTTCCTAATAAAAGTTTATTCTTTATGATAACTTGAATATGGATTTCAAGCCCTCTGAAGCCCCATGAATCTCTTGCTGTTCATTATTCAATTTTCGATTACAAATGAAGGAAACAATGAAAGGTACATATATAATATCTTACAGTTCACAATAAAATCAATGATTTTTAGAAACATTGGATTTTTTCTTTTTGATGACATAAAACCACCTATTTTGTGACCCATACAAACATACAATTCTGTCTGAAGTAGGTCACATCATGAATGTAAAGGATATAGGTAATACTACCAGACTTTGAGAACTCTGGTTTTCAGCAAACAGATTTTATTATTCACAATCTTCAATATTTTTCAATAGATGAATTCAATATCAATAACTTCCTTATCCTGGCTCCCACATTCAATGTAGCCAGCATCACTGGGCAATCTCTAGATGCATAGTTTCTGATCAGATATAATATACAATTTCGAACCCAAAGATGTAATAAACCACAGAGGTTGAAGTCAAACAAAATCTTCATACTTTCATTGGTTTTCAAGGACCTAGTCAACTGATTCTTGCAATAGGTAGCTGGTTTTCATTAGTAGTATCTTCTTCAGAGGTTGATTCAATCTTGATATTACATTCCTAGAGTTGATAACAGATGTTATATGGAAGGTCTGTTTGTGGTAATGCAAATATTCAGAACATACCAAGGGCCTCGATGGGTGTCATTTAGGAAAATATACCTGTACCAACGAAAGTCGATGACCATTCAGACTTTTTTTAAAGTGTCTTCCTTCATATTGAATTGAAGGAAAGGTCCTTACAAAGGAATACTATTTTAAACAATATTCTTATTTTTCGAATACAATATTGATGATTGAGAAGTGGTCACTGAAATTCAACAAATTACGATACCTACATAATTTTAAAACGATTTATCAATTATTAACCTCTATGTTTCATCAATCATCATAGCATGGCAGAAATAATAAATGTAAACAAACTCGATCATGCTTGCTTGGCTTGAAAGGGCACACCAATGACGTAATTCACGCTGGCGCTGATTGGCTGGAAATTTATGAGGCAACCTGTCTATTTTAATGATCTTGGGACAGTGTGTATAGAAAAAGATACACATGGCGCTGAACGTGTTAATTAATGTGTTCTCATCGCTATGGCGGGCTGTAAATCGTACCGGAGAAGTATGGCATTTCGCTATCGACTACTTCTTTTTTCATTGAATATCTGAAAATACAAAAGCATTTTTGTGTAACAAATCGTTCGATATTCGTAATTTATTCAACACGTTCGATTAACGCCCACGCAATTGGTCCGCCGATACCAGCGATATGACCATAATTTTCCTTTTCGTACTCACGTAATTAGACCCCTGAAGGGTCGCCATAAATGGTACAAAATAAATGACCGGAAAAATTCTGTCGTCATCTCCCGGTCTGACAAGAAAGAAAAACTTGCAATTAGTATTTGTTAATATAAGTCATTGCATGAATTTCAAAACAATGTTATTCAATGTTCTGGGTGGCTTTAGCTAGGAAAGTAGTTGTTTCTTCCTTTACCTACTTTTGTTGCTCATTTCCTTGAACATTTTGTGGAAATGATTGTGTTTTTCCTAACTGTTATTATATTATTCCAAATTCTTTGTTGTTTCAAAATCTGGTTAGTCTTTTCAGTACTAGTGTTTTTTTTGCCGAGTCGTTGATTCTTTTAGAATTGATTATATCTTTTCATCGATTCATGAATATTAGAAAATCTAAAAGTAATCTTGCTTCAAATTACAAATCAATATCCCTGAAAGTAATGATGGAAATGACAGCTGGAATGACTCACCCCTAATATTGTCAAATATTCCTTCAAAAACAAAGCTTGTTGAAGTGGCGTCTGCTTACTCTCCCCTTTCAACAGCTTCACGAAAGAATCCACAGCCTCATCAAAATGCTGCAAATTATTCGCCTGCCTCCCGATCGTGTAATGAATGTGATCGCTCGCCAAATCCCACCCTGTATTCTCGTAAATCTGATATGCTTGCTTATAGCACCTGCGGGAATCACGAATATTGATGAATATCAAAAAATAAACACGAAAAATATTTTGCTGGAATTTTCTGCGTTGTGTATTACTCCATTCTCCTTTTCTAGGTATGCAGATGTTCTTCGAACATTATAGCAATTTCCTTTCGTGCGCTTCAAGCTTCAAGAGATGAAAAAAATTATCATGAGGATGCCAACAAAAATAAGAATTTAAATCCACGTTTTGGCAAACAAAATTCTCAATTAGAATTCCGGATATTCTCCAGAAATAACCGAGAAAGGATGTTATCCTGAATGTTTGTTAACTATGCTATACAGTGTATTTCATAAAGTTGGCATCATATGGAAAAACCTTTGATAATAATTCATTTTGAAATTCGGATTGTGCGTTTACTTCTGCTCAAAAAAATTAAATATGGCCTACTCAGTCACGTGACTTTTGCTACATGTCGAATGTTACATTATTCAAATTAATTGCTGAAAATAGGCTCATTTTTATGAATTTCAAAAAAGTTTACGGGGCAAAGTTGTTTCTATCTCAATTTTACGACCGTGTTTCTAATTTGAACATTCTATTGCAACTTCAAGTTCTTGATGTATCTTGATTTCTTCTACTTATTGTAACTTTGACCAAGCCAAATAGAGTGGTTGCAGCCTTGCCCTCTCCCCATTTAATAATAATAATAATAATAATAAATGCTTTTATTGTCTCAATGAAACAAAAGGCAGAGTTCAACTCGCCGATAAATCGACAGCTGCTCTTCCACTCAACCCTTGACTCGACCATAAATACAATTTCGAAATTAATATCACCCCATCTTATCAATCATAAAAATATTGGTAAATTCTCAAAAGGTAATTTTTTCTGCCTGAATAATGCATGCTAATTAAGGGACACCCTGCATATACCTCGGAATATGTCATAGATCCTGATTTTTAAGCTGATTTCCATGATTTTTCATTAACAATTTATCTACCTGAAGCGACTCCGAATTTATCTCATTGAGTAGGTTTTTTCGTCATGGAATTAGACCTAAAAATGGTTACTTTACCTAAGGGAATGTTTTCGTTGACCTGACTTCGCAAACCTATGGCCTGAAAGTACCATGTGAAAAGCATATTTTCTGGCCATTTTCGATTGAAGGAAACAATATGACGCTTGTTCTAAAAGTAGAGCGGAGCGTAAATCAGACTCTTCGCTAGTCATTCGGATCAGTTGATGAGCAGCTTCACCATACATGGCTTGGCATTTTAGGCACTCTGAGCTCAAAATTGTGGCTCTTGTAGCAAACTGAGGCATTCTGAAATGAAAATTTGAATATACAGAGAAAGTGAGTTATATAGGGAGTCCTACAATTATACGGTTGAAACTCAGATTTGAGCAGTACAGGTGAAGAAAATACTCAGAATTCATACATATTTTGTCGGTCCCATTCGGAGATATTCGCCCCTGAAGGTGAACATCAAATTCCTTTAGGAGGGCAGAGACAAAGTAGCCCTATCAAGTATGAGCCTCAAATTGTTGACATCTCTAACATTATTTGAATCAAAATGGTACTGTTGCTTGACATGGACCATCGGATTTATACTGAAATTATATATCCAGGGGCGTCGATAATGTTTTTTCTTCGGAGGGTAAACGCTTCTTGGTTTGGGCACAGTTTGGGTAATGAAATTATTTATTTATTATTCTTCTTGAGAAGGGAGGGGGTTACCACCCCCATAGCCCCCCCCCCATATCGGCGCCTTTGCATCGATTAACCTAACCGCTCCCCAGGAAAACTGTTTCAACACAAGATAAGTAGGACAGGAAGAAACTCCTACAGTCAACGCAACCTATTCCTAATTCAATTCTACAATAAGGAAATGGTTTGAAGTTTCAAAGCTTCAAGTGGAGAGAGTTAACTCCACAAGTGCGTAATTGCTTTGCAACTCGAGAAATGTACTATACTTTTTCTACGGCTACAATATACTTCCTACAAGATAGTACAGATATTATGTTGAGACAAAAGTCAAATATGTCTCCCGTCACTTCAAGCTGAAGGTAGGTACAAATTACAATTGTTCTTGTATTTGTTTATTGGTAAATTGCATAACGAACCATTTTCCTCAATTTGAACTGAAACGAAGCCATTTTTCATATCTTAACATCCTTATTAATAACAAAAAACACAATCGATAAACATATAGAATTATCATAATGGATATTTATCACTGTGCAGTTGAAAGTAACAGCATATTTTACGAAAATGACATGAAACCTTCCAGAAACATTTCAATTCTACCCTATTGTTGACTGTTTGAAACGTTATTTGAAACGTACGCACGAACATTTGAACGAAACCAAAATGAATCGTTTCAAGAAAAATGCACCCATGTAAGAATTTATGTTCTAATGCCGCTACTACTGATGTTTTATGTTCTTTGTAGTGTTGCCTACACCTTCCCAAATCAAAAAACAGCTGCTGCTACTATACCACGCCATCAAAATTGAACCGTACTCATAATTATATTTTACTTCAACGCTTATTCAATTTTCAATATTGTTATGTCTAAATCTTAGTATTCAGCCTCAAAATGTAGATCAGACCGAGTAAAATGTATTTCGTATGTCGAATTTCTTGTTGCTAAGAAAACTTGTGATGGATAGGAGACGCGGGTGTGAATGCGGAAAGGGGAAGGATCAGTATACAAGATAGCTTAGACAGCGTGAAATAAGCATGAGCTCAACAACACTCAATCGCCAACTAATGCTTCAGTCCTATTTCAAGTTTGCGATATACATAATCACTGTTTCTGATTTCTGAATGTATGTGTTTCGAAGTGGTAGTCAAACCTGATAGTTAATTTGTGATCCATCGTATCCAGTTGCTTAGTTTCGAGGAGCCAAATAAGGGTTATCAGGATTCACAAAGTATTTTATCAAGAATGATTCCACATCCGAAGGAAATGTGAATGATATTGGTGAACGGCACGGATTACCATCATGAGAAGCTGTTCACATAAAAGGTAGGACCCAAACAACACGGGATCTTGCTGGTACATCCCGCTAAGGTCCTACAAATGTCCCAATGTTTCAGACATTCCATTTGATCTTTTTTTCATAAACAATATCATGGTTCCATATTTGCCAATGATGATTGACATGATTGAACAGTTCAAACAATTGTGACATTTGAAACATTGAAAAGTTGGTAAAAAATGGAAATCAAAACTGTATTCGTACTCATATACTTATACCTATACCAAAGCCGGCTAATTTCATCGATAACAAATTGAAATAATTATACCAAATATTCCTCAATAAGATTACCAAAGTACCTGCTTAACTTCATGAACCATGTAATAAAACGACAAAATTGAAATATATCTCTTCAGCATATTTATTGCTGAATTTATTTGTTATACCAGCCGATAGATGGCGGTACAACTACGTTTCAAACGAATGTTATCACCTTCCGATAGTTATTGGACTGCACCGACCTTATATTTTCGGATTCGGATTGTTACTTTATATCTGGAAATAGGTCGGCCATTCTCAGGATTTCAGATTGAGAATAATTTATACCGTGTCATCCATTAATGTCATCAAAAAAAATCCCTTTAAGATGTTCCATATCAAGTACCCTGAATGGCTCTGGTACATCCTCTATCATCCCACAAACATTCTGATGGGATATTTATAAGACATCGGAAATGCTGACACGGGTGTTGCCAGCAACATCCCAAGAATGTCCCAAGGAGAATAGGGATTTTCCAGATATGTTCCTATCATCCCATATGGATGTTTCTACGACGTCTTACCGATGTTATTGTGTTATAAGGGGATCCATCCATCCATTTGGCAATCGAATTATATTGGTTGGCTGTGTTTATTTTTTCGCCGTTTTGGGGACAGTATATTGTGTTTTAGAGATATTAGTTGGAAGTGTTCACTAGGATATTTGGGCTAGTGTCGACTTGATAAGACTATATGCGTTTTTGTATTTCTCACGTTTGTGTGATGGGTTTTTGCCTACTGTTTGTAAAATATGAATAAGTAGTACCTAATAAATTTGTCTATTTCTACTGTCTATGTATATTTATTATTCCAACACCATATCCACTTTCTTTGATGAGTTGATAAAACTATACAAAATTGGAAACCATTGTGAAAAGTGTCCAGGAAAGTTTTTTCGAAACGCATCCAAGACAGTTTTGTTGGAACGTGCCCATAACGGTTTTCTTGGAGCGTGCCTGGGACGATGTTGTTGAAACGTTCCATGAAACTTCACTGAGGTAGGACATTTACATTCTCTGGAACGTTTCTGAAACTTCAGAGACTTAAGTGGAAAGGTTTCAGATATCCAAAAGACATTTCTGAAACGTTTCTGATACTGAAATATATTTAGTAGGATGATATTATTCCTGAGTAATTTTTTTAAATGATTTCGTATCTTTCACGAGACTTTACGGGTAGAAAATGATCATTTTCAAAAAATATTACGCCTGATGCCTGATTTCGGTTTCGATTGATAACTTGGTTTATTGATGAAAAGATAAGTACCAACGAAACTACTGAAATTAACTGAAATTGACACATCGCCTAAGCAACAAAACAAAGTCATCCATCAACATACCTATGAAAACCGTGCGATCGCTCGCTTTACGCACTACATCACTTACAATAGTAGTCGTAGGAAAAAGTTGAAAAGTTACATAATTATAACAGAGATACCACCACACTCGTATGCGGATCACCTGTGTTAGTATTAAAATAGTTAGTAGTAGTTGATATATTTATATTACAAGCTTGAACGAGAAAATGAGAGAACTTAGTGCCTCAACCAAAATTTGATCAATTTCACACTAATTATCTGAATGTATCTGCAATCTAGAATTCCCATTGAAATGATTCACATTATTTCTATTCTCGAACAAGAACTAGAGCAACAATAGTTATTTATGTAACAAGTGTGTAAAGTGCTACTTTTTTAAGGAGTAGGAAATGTTCCTATGAGTAAAAGAAATACTTTACGCATGTGTTACATAGAGTTTTTTTTCTAAAACAGTCAAAAAAGAGGACAGCCTCATTCAACTTATTATGTAAATGATTAAATAATATTTCGTAATTATTATCAAGTACATTTACTCATTTCATGTCACGTTATTGATATCACCTGGTTTCTAAGGACGAAATAGCCAGAGCTTCCTTCGTCTAATTTGAATAAATCGTTCATTCCGCTCGCGTTCAGCGATGCTGTTAAAATCATACATGAGATGCGAGCATAATATTATCTAATACGCGAGGATATCGTGGCGCCTTCTTTCCGCTCCCATCACTATTTCAATAACACTCCATACGAAATACGAAGTCAGCCGCCATGATTTGTTGGCTTGCTGAATCCCGTAAAGGAGCCCATTGACTGCGTTGTTGGTGGGCTGTTTTGTTCGTCGAACAGTTATGTTCGAACAAGAATGACGCATGACCGAAGTGTGTGGTGTATGGGCTAGCGAAAACGACCATTTTGCAGCCACACACTTCGGTTCTTCGTCATTTTTGTTCGAATAAACTTGTTCGTCGAACAAAACAGCCTACCAACAACGCAGTGTATGGGCCCCTTTCACGCAAGCATTCATTGCATCGCCTAGCAATAACCGTGAAAAAAGTGTACTTTTCAACACTTTTCCGTAAAATGATGAAACAGTAATTGATATTGAAAAATTGTACACTTAAAGCACACAAAATATTATATTGAAAAAGTGCAGTGTTTCTGACAGTTGTAAGAATGGAAATTTTCAGGCGGCAGACGAAGATTTAATCGATTAATCTAGTATCAATATGGGTATGATAATTTTTGCTGTTAGTAATTAAACATCCGAACAAACAATTCCCATAGAACGAAAACAGCGCGCATACATATACTAGACAATGAATAATTCAATAACAGGTAACAATGAGAATGTAACCACAATAAAAAACGTAGCTACTAGTAATGAGCAAAATATGGAGATTCTGCCCAACATGCCTTACCTGTTAAACGGAAAAAATATTTCAAATGTATCCATAATTAATATCTTCGTTCGAACATTTATCTTGAAATTCTGTTTGTTGTTAGCATTGTTAGTGATTGTCATTATTGATTACTGCCTTCTTTTCAATTTTCTAACTTTATAATTTAAAATAATTAAAATGTTGTAAGTGAAACACAAATCTTTTCAAGATCGAATAAAGCTAGGCAATTTGAAGAAGGGTAAATTTTTTATGAAAAATTGAACGAGCTTCAGATTATCGACCTCTTTTAACCATTAATTATTTAATGGACAAAAAATATATGATGTAATTCAAAGAAGTAATAGAGTGCCACTAGCGTCCTTTATGCGCATTATGAATTCATATTTCTCATTTCAGAAAGCCTAAAACTACAACCCCATGGGTCTGTCTCAGTGAAAAATGTAATTTTATTACTTCGAAGAACTAACCCAAACTAGTTCACTATCACAAACCGTTTTCTCCTGAGAATTATGAACTCCCAGTATTATTTTCACCTGTACTATCCAATTATGAGTTTTGGCCGTAAACTTATGGAACACCCTGTATATCACATAGAAAAAAATACAACAATAACATTCATCTTACTTGCAAGTATTGAGATAAGTTGTGATACTCTCTTCCATGTAATCAAAAGTTTTCCTGGAAGACTCATTCGCCATAAAAGCTGCTAAAGCAGCCATTTCCAGTGCTCCAGCATAGTAGAGCCAAGCTTGGTCAGTATTGTAATCCCTTTTTGCTAAATGATATGCTTGAAATGCTAAAGAGTAGTGGCCAAACATGAAGTATAAATCACCGAGCCTCCTAATTTGTAGTTCTGGAGAATCTGGAGAGTATCTGTTGAAAATCAACCCTTGGAATATTTGATTGAAGACCAGTTGCATGAATTATTTGTTTACACGAAGGGCCGAAGGCAATGTATGCTTTATCTGATCAGACAGGTCATTACGATTTCTTAATTTTGCATCCGAACCTCAAACAAAATACATGCAAAAAGGCTGGGGTGGTTTAAACCCTCCCTCTCCTCAATTATCCCACCTCTGAATAACATTTTGAAATGAATGTTACATCTCATCATTCTTATCAACCATGAAAGTATTAGTAAATTCTTAAAATTTCAATGCTCTGTCTTGAATCGTTTCGGAAATATTGAATTAAAATCATCTTCAGGGCTGCACGTTCAAAGGGTTGATCAACTACTGTTGTGTGAGACTGAAGAAAAATATAGATGATTATTATTGATCAATGTTGCATTGAGAGCAAAATGGAAACTGGAGGCAAAACAATCAATTTCTGAACTTAAAAATCATACAAAATGGCGTAATCCAAAAATATATTTCACGTTATTGAATTATTATGAAGATACAGAAACAGAACAGGTGATAACATATTGTTTCATCGTTTGTGAAGATATTGTTCTGCCTTGCGTGATTATTTAATGACTTGACACATATTTTGGTATGCTAGCATCATTCTTTTCCTGAAGATGCTAACATAGTTAGCGAAACACTTGTCGAGGCGTAAGAAAATCGGTTTAGTGGTAAAATCGTGTAGTGTTTATTGTGGTAATGGAACCTCAAAGAAGCATGACAAACGCACCTACTGGGGGTTTATATTCTGGTGCAAACAAAATATATCAAGTATCACTGTTGATCAATGGACAAAATTTGCTAAGGTCTTCAGAATTTCGCCTATGTTGATTCATTGAATACCGAAAATACATACAGAGTGACCCATTTGATAGCGAGCCACCCTAATACATTTTTCATTTATGGAGCGATTCTCATGAACTTTTTTCTGAAATGTAGAGGAGGAAAAGGTGTATTTTGAAGGCATGCGGCATCCATTTTTTTTTAACCAAGGCCTACTAGATCACATTCAGAGGCTTTAAAATCCAGTATCCTTATTAGCGATTTTTTTAGAGAAAATCCGCATACACCACTGGAATCGGCGTCTTCCGAAATACCAAGTTACATGGAAAAATATTCAACACTAACGAATCTACTAAGTGACCATCGATAGGATTAGTTTCTCCGAGATATACATACTTTTGGATAGTACCGTGCGTTTTTATTAAAATGAAAAGGGGTCGATTTTTTATGAAATCATATTGGGAATTTTTTTGCAGAAAAACTGACCTCATAATGTTCTTCATGGTTTCAAATGCCCATTTTTTATTAAAATATAAAGGGGTCAATTCTTTATGAAATCATCTTGGGAATTTTTTTGCAGAAAAACTGACCTCATAATATTGTTTTTCATGGTTTCAAAAAACAGGCACATCTGAACAGCATTTTTGCGAACGTTATATAATCATTTACTCGTAGACGGTGAGTTCAACATCAAATAATATTTGTTTTTCATTCAATTGACGATTTTCTACCTACCAGAGCTATTGAACTTTCCAAAATTTGCAGTTGATTTGAATTCACTATTTTTCCGAGGCTGAAAATGAATAAAAAATGAAGGTAATACTGTAAATTTGGAATGAGGTGATTTTTTGCATTTGGAGGTTCAAAAGCATGTGGAACAATAATATGAAGTTATAGTTTTGTCGCCAATCCCAATTTGGTAAATATGGCACGACTAATGACTGTGATATCAGTGGTGGACGCGGATTTTTTCTCGAAAAATCGCTAATATGGATTCTGACTTTTTCAGCCTCTGAATACACCTTTCCCCCCTCTACATATCGAAAACAAAATCGTGAATATAGCTCCAGAAATAAACGATTTATGAGGGTGGCCCGCTTTCAAATGTGTCACTCTGTATATGGGAATGACAGCATTCTGGAAAATTTATGAGGAAGAAAGATATCAAATATAGAACAGGAAGATTCAATGTGAAATAATCTTTTTGTAGAAAATCAGGGAAGGGGGAAATCGCCCCCTCTCGCCTCCCCTAAATGACGCCCATGCTCGAACCTCCGGACATTGGGATTATACAGAGTGGGCCTTTGAAAACGAAACAGAGGCTCTGTAGGTCGCCAAAACCGGATTATGAAAACAAATCTGAAACACGTCAACTACATTTTCGAGGGGGGCATCGTTCTAAAATATTTTCAGCCCTGCGGCGTTGCCGCTTCTAACGAAAAGAAGCAACAACTTTGTTATTTCAAATGGGAGATTCTCCCCGAAGAGCTGATTTCATCAATGCATCACACTTGGGGTCTAGCTGTAATGGTTTTCAGGGATATAAAGTGTTCAAAATCGAGATTTTTCAACTTAAGCATTTTCTTGTGTTGAAACTATTCATTATTGGTCAAAACAGCTTTCATGTCCCTATATCAACTTGTGATTTACTATCTACTAACATTTAATTGGAACAGATACAGGGTGATCAGAATTCTGAATCTTGAACAATCCGTTATTTTTTTCAAATAAATGTAGTAGATAGTAAATGACAAGTTGAGATAGGGACATGAAAGCCGTTTTGACCAAGAATGAATAGTTTCGACACGAAAAAACGCTTAAGTTGAAAAATCTCGATTTTGAACACTTTATATCCCTGAAACCATTACAGCTTGACCCCAAGTGTGATGCATTGATGAAATCAGCTCTTCGGGGAGAATCTAAAAATGCAATAAAATACAGTGGTATTCTGTTTGAAATAACAAAGTTGTTGCTTCTTTTCGTTAGAAGCGGCAACGCCAATGTAGTTGACGTGTTTCAGATTTTTTTCATAATCCGGTTTTGGCGACCTACAGAGCCTCTATTTCGTTTTCAAAGGCCCACTCTGTATAACAGTGACCATAGTTGCAATTACAAATTCAGGATACTTTGATACTTTCCACTTTTCAATATTGAACATTTTAATAGAAATACATACTATAAAATTATACAACTAATACATACATATTTGAAAAAAAAACAATACATAAATACTGTTGAGCTTGAAACACTTTAATAATTTCAACTTTATTATCGTTAGCGCATCACGTGCCACTGTTAAATATAAGAGCATTAATTTTCGGCTTCCTGTCATTGAAAATTCGTCCAGTAGTTCCCGATGATCTGTATTTTTGGTATATTGGAAAATATTGAAACGACTCGACGACTATACATTCTTATACATTTTGGGTCTGGAACATAATCTGGAGGGAATTAGCCCCCCAAGCTCCCCCTCCCCCAACTTCGCCACTGTTCAAAATCTAATTTTAATACAAAAATTTAGGCGAACTATCAATAGATTTGGTCGATTGGTCAGCCACATTTCGTATCAGCCACAGTGTCCGAATATACCCGAACGATGCGCTGTTGCCAGATACAAATCGATTCTCCCAATTTAGCAGAAATACACATTGCAGCTTCATCTCGTTTCAGCCACATTTCGTTTCAGCAACATTTTGTGTCCATTTCATCTCAGCCACTTCTTGTGATTCATTCATATTTAGTGAAAAGAAGGAAGAATATAATTTAAAATAATGGCGTGTGTAATGTTATTCAAAAGTAATCTGTTGACATTTGACATCTCGTATTTGAATTGATTATTGATTAAATGGCCGTCATCTGGTATGATTGTTCACTAAATATGAAAAACTCGACATAAGAAGAATTCCGAACTTTGTATTGAAATATCTCGATAAATGTTTTTCAGATAAAATACGTAAATACCAAATAACATTTCGAAAAAAAAACCATGGCATGATAAGTGCAATTTCACCATTACCGAAATGAGGCTGAGACGAAATGAGGCTAAGACGAAATGAGTCTGAAAACGAGATGTGGCTGACGAAATGTGGCTAAGACGAGATGTGGCTAAGACGAGATGTGGCTGAGGTGAGATGTGGCTGAGAGGAATATGCTTGACCTATTCGATCCTGTCAAATTGGAAATTGGTATAGTATGTGGCAACAGCGCATCATTCGAGAATGTTCGGATTCTGTGGGCCAGACGAAATGTGGCTGAGGTGAGATGTGGCTGAAACGAGATGTGGCTAAGACGAAATATGGTCGGAATGGGTTGTGGCTGAGAAGAGGAATTGGAAATAATCGAAATTCAATCAGTGGCGTAGAATATATGGGAGGGATAGGGACCGTATGTCCCTATCTCAGTGATTATGAAATCACGAGGGCTATCACCTGTCAAGCGTTGTCGGTCGAATTTCGCAACACCCTGTATATCTTCCTCAATATACATTTCGGGCCATTAGTTCGTTCATCAAACTATACTAATTTTCCTATATACTATCACCTCCAGAAAGCTCCGTACACATTTTTGACTCATCCTATACAGGGTATGTCACGACAAGCTTACACTATCTCTATATCGAGAATCAGTCGGGAGAAATCCATGAAAATATGCATGCTCATATTTTAGAATGCGCTCTCTTCGTTTAAAATATTTTCAGCAATGCAGTGTTGCCGCTTCTATCAAAAAGTAGCGACAACTTTTTTATTTCAAACAGAATACCACTGTATTATTTTGCATTTTTAGATTCTCCTGGAAGAGCTGATTTCATTGATACATCACACTTGGGGTCTATCGGGAATGATTACAGAGATATAGGGTGTTCAAAATCGAGAATTTTCAACTTTAGGATTTGTTTGTGTCAAAACTATTCATTATCGGCCAAAACGGCTCACATGTCCCTATCTCAACTTTTGATTTACTTTTCACTGATATTTAATCGGAACAGATACAGGGTGAATGCTGAATCAAAAGTTGAGATAGGGACATGTGAGCCGTTTTTGAAGCTGAAAAATCTCGATTTTGAACACTATACAGGGTGGGCCACCAGTAACGCCTCGGTCTCTAGAAGGCTAACCACTTATCTTCTTGGAATTCTTCCTCTCTAGGAAGTTGCATGTCAACAAAGGCTACCATTTGGAATTATTTTGAAACATACAGGATGTCCCCAAAAATCACAAAACACTGAAGTTGAACTTTTTTCAATCGAACACCCTATATATTATTTCATTTTGAGATTCTTCCTGGTGAGCTGATTTCAACAATCCATCATACTTGGGGTCTAGCAGTTATAATTACTGAGATATAGGGTGTGAGAAATCGAGATTTTCCAAGTTCAAGAATTTTTTGTGTCTAAACCATTCATAATAATTGGTCAAAACGGCTCACATGTCCCTATCTCAACTTTTGATCAACTATCTACTGAGATTTAATTGAAACAAATACAGGGTGGTGCAGAATTCAGAATCTTGATCACCTGGTATATGTTCCAATTAAATATCAGTAGATAGTTAATAAAAAGTTGAGATAGGGACATGTAAGCCGTTTTGACCAATTATGAATAGTTTCGACACAAAAAATTCTTGAACTTGGAAAATATCGATTTTTCACACCCTATATTTCAGTAATTATAACTGCTAGACCCCAAGTATAATGGGTCGTTGAAATCAGCTCATCAGGGAGAATCTCAAAATGAAATAATATATAGGGTGTTCGATAGAAAAAAGTTTAACTTCAGTGTTTTATGGTTTTTGGGGACACCCTGTATGTTTCGAAATAATTTTGAATGGTAGCCTATGTTGACATGCAACTTCCTAGAGAGGAAGAATTCCAAGAAGATAAGTGGTTAGCCTTCTAGAGACCGAGGCATTACTGGTGGCCCACCCTGTATATCTGTAATCATTTCCGATAGACTCCAAGTGTGATATATGGATGAAATCAGCTTTTCAGGGAGAATCTAGAAATGCGATAATATACAGGGTGTTCTATTTGAAATATCAATGTTGCTACTACTTTCTAGTAGAAGCGGCAACACTGCACTGTCGAAAATATTTCAAATGAAGGGAGATATAAGCATGCACATTTTCATGGATTTCTCCCAACTGATTCTCGATATAGAGATAGTGTAAGCTAGTTATATGACATACCCTGTATACAAGCATAGATATACAAGGAATGTATAGGATATCCATAGCTGGACATCCAATGGTTTTCCAATGGATTTACTTGTGTTGTCTAGGATGTTGATAGACAATCCAACTGAAACATCACAGGCATAGCAGAAATTTCTTCAGAGGTAGTCATTGAGGGTCAAAAATGAATAAATTTAGACCACCAGAGAAAAAAATCTGATTTGCAACTTCATATTTTCTGAAAAGCACAGGTTAATTTCAAGAATTTTAAATCATAGGCAAGGCTCTTAGACAAATACAATAGAAAATTAAAATCTCAACTTCATGGTTTACCAATTTTTTACCCATTTTTTCTGAAGGGGTGGGTTCTTGGGAAGCAGGGTGAATTTGCTAATAAGTTTCATAAACATTAATAGGTTTATATCAGGATGTACAAGATCACTGAAGAATACATCAATTTTTTTGATACTTATATTACTTAAAATTAAATTGGAACATGAATATCTGTACTTACATTAGATTATTCACAGCAACTGAACTAGCCCCAGGCTTGTTTGGGCTGAACCATCTTTTTGTAGCACTGAACAAAGATTTACTGACCCCCTTCTTATTTGAAACTACATCATTCAGCATAAGTATCTGTTTTTCTATATATGGCAGTAATCTACTCTTGGCAAATTCATATACTAGCAATTTAACTTGTTCCACATCATCAGTTGATAAACAAGCCCCATGAGTTTTTGGTTTCATTGGAATTTTTGAAAGTTTGTCTTCATCATTCACATAATCAGTCTAGCCAGAACCAAAAAATTGGTCACATCAAATAATAATCTTTCACATCATGATATAATGATATTATGCTATGTGATATTACACTTACTAAAGTTGAATCTTCACTGACAGGACTTAATGGGTGATAATTTGAAACATTCCTAACCTCCTCAGCTTCTTGACCTATTTCCAGAGAAGTTCTCATTGAATTATTGTCTACACTGGTTTTACACTCCTTCATGTCCATCTGAGAGTTGATAAATTGACTCCAAGGGTCAGGCAAATGTTCAGAACTCTCTGGGTTTGGGGATCTTGAATTAATTTTCAATAAAAAGCAGCTTGTTGTTCCATATGAAATTTTCATGGAATCAAATGTTTTCACAGCTCTGTAAGAATATACCAGAATTAAATGATTTCTTGAGAAAAACCAACCAACCCTTGAACTTACAAAGTCATATCACCTTCTATATTGTCATGAACTATAACATAATACTTCAAAATGTTAGAACTGAACCATTTAGGCAACTTCCCAGGCTCTCTACTATGAAGTTGATTGAGACTTTGTGCTAGTTTCTCAACTGTTTCCACTGGATTATTGTCAGATGAGCTTACAACTAATATACATGCTAGAAAATGTTTGGTGAATTCATGATCTGAAGGATATTGCACTCTCATGAAAGTGTCTCTCCAGGATTCAAACCATGGAGTACCAGAAGGAATATCCAAAATATGTTCTCCAATTTGGAATATTTTGTTCCTACATTCTGGTGCATTGCTTACAGATGAATTCAACAGTTTTCTAGCTAAAGGGGTTTGTGGAGGCCTCCAATTTATATCTAAAAATGTAATCTTCAAACTATGAATGGTATTATTTGCCCCCAAAGGATCTTTATAATGCACTGAAAAAAAAAACCTACATTAGAAAATAAACTAATTTCTACCCAAAAATATACATACCATCATTATTCAATCTGGAGAATGGTTGTAATAGCTCAATAAAATCCAAATTATTCTTTTGGCAGCTTTTTTCGGCAATCGGGGTGCACATAATTGCAACTTGAGGAGTGAATACATTTTTGATAAATTCCTGTGGACTCTGTTTGCATTGTGCCATGATAAATAAGATGGTAAGATGATACGTCCGGATAGAATAATAATGAATATCTCACATCTTAAGTATATTTGTCATATTTTTGAGTAATTCACGTAATTGAATTTATTGGAATACTTTTTAATGTTTGAGAAATTCTGACGTTTACATACAAATATCAAAAAAATATCACATTAACACAGAAATCACAGAATAAGAAATAAAGAAGTGACGAACGGTATGGTTATGGTTGTCAAATTGATAGCTGCGTTTTATTAGAAGTCCACTAGTGGTACTTCGGTGGTACTAGATTGAGGTTCGCGATAAAACGACAGCTTGACCAAGTGCCTTCTGATGCTTATAAAGATGCTATACATAAGGTCCAATAATATACTCTATGATATGACCTTATTTTGTTGTGTCACCGTTTCTTAATAAACAAGAGAAGATCGGGAATTCATGAAATGACAATATATTTGCTGCATATATGTACTATTTCTATATATGGCTCATCGCCTATATGATATCTCAACAAAAATGGGACCAAAATGAGAGGTACTTTCTGAATCAATAAGGACGGAAAGTGAAGGATGGAAAATTAGAGATATGCAATGAACTCAATATAATATTGAGTTCATTGGAAATAAGTAGAGTCCCTGTATATACCTTAGACAAGAGTCCGGACACAAAACTGACAGCCGTTGGGGTTTTTAATATTTTGTTTCATTTGGTTTGCCCACCTGACAATGTGACGAAACACCATAGTCGTCTCGCCCGCTTTTTTTAATTATTCCGAATGTCTGTCACTGTCACTTTGAAATTTTATGACCGCCAAAATTCAGCATTTTAAATTATTTCAATGTCCTGCTGCGTACATTATTGCGATAATTCATTAGAAAAGGGATTCAAGTTATTCGATTTTTCGAATGATCCTTTAAAGATAATGTCATGGAAGAATGCAATGAAACGTCCAGAATGGAAAGTTGATTTCAAGAAATTCGCAATATGTGAGGTGAATATTCAAATTAACTTGTAAAAACAGTACAAGAAAGATGAATTTTAGGCCCATTTTGATAGAGATTTTTTCAAGCTGATGGATTTCAAATTGAAAGAGTCTGCTGTGCCGTCAATTCATGAGATAGAGACGTTCAAAAAAAGAGTCCCGTCGTCATCGTATTGGGAATTACTGAATGATACGTTCGCAGAGAAAGAAAATGAGAATGAGATGATGCGGAAAGAAATTGAAAGTTTGAAATCAAAACTCGAATCAAAACTAGAAGATTTAGGGAAACTGCAATGTGCTATATCATCAGTTCACGGTGTTATTAATTCAGATCAAATTCAAAATGTACAGGTGAATGTAGACTGCAGGAAGAGGTGGGAAACACAATTAATGAAGCACTCGCTATCAAATATATTGTTGTTTTGATTTTGTCACTTTTATTTCTGATGAGTATTATTAAATTGAGAGAATCGGAGAAAATTATATTGAAACAATTGAATATGTTCTATTTTTTATATCCCAACAGAAAACAACTATTTTTTCTTGACTATATGTGATACCACGTAGAACACTTGAATTATCTTTCTTATATCTAATGAAGGGAAGAAATATCTGGTGACAAAAATTTGCAATAGCCATCTCAGGAATTGATTATGAGAATTATCGATTCGAAATTAGAACACCCTGTTGTTCATTATTCGAAAATCTAATAGTTATTCTAGTTAAAATAGCCCTATTTCTCACTTCATTCTACGGCTATGAACGGTTTGACAAATAATCTAACCCTCAAACCGGTTTCTGACAATCATTGATACTAGGGGAATTGAGAAGACAGAGCTCGATATATATGTCTTATTCCTTTATTCAATCATCAATGCATTTTTTGAAAACAGAAAAGGACAGAAGTATAGCTGTGTCCGGACTCTTGTCTGAGTTATATACAGGGACTCTAGAAATAAGTAGCCATATTGTCGTATTATTTTTCCCTTACGTCGGCATCAACGCCTATTGGTCGATTTCGTTACCTATAGAGAAAGAAGTTGGTCCCGCTTTGGGGACAGCTATGATTCATATATGAGTAGTAGATATATGGTCTCACTGGCAAAACTACTATCTAGACCGCTATATGTCATATCACCCTAAAATCTCTTTGCCTGCCTGAAAACGCTTTCTGTTCGATTTGGAGCTCAAACTGTCGTTCATGACATTGAGTCGTGTCTCTTTTGCTGTTCGCAAACATATGTAAAAGAGTGAGTAGTAGGTATAGGATACATGACAGGTCCTAAATGCACACACTCCATTGGATCATGTTGGATCTCGTAAATGAAAATGACTCAACACTTTACGGCGTGGACGAGTGTAGTGGTGTAGTGTGGTGAATTGATATCCTGTTTGTTGCTTCTGGTGTAGTAAAGTGTAGTAGGATTTCACTTATTTCGATTGCATGGGAAAAATTCCTTGAACTCAAAAAATGGACTGTGATGTTGGAATAATTTGCAGTTTACAGTTACAGTTTACCTTCAATATTCTTGAATTAAGATTTTGAATCAATAACAAGTTCTTCTGACGAGGATGAATCGATGAAATTTGTTTTATCAGTATAGTGGTATAATCCATCTAAGAATTAGAAACGTTGACCAAGATAATCAAATGATATACAAAACGGAGATTGTCGATTATGCTCCAAAAACAAACTATCTCTCTAACAACTATCTGCACTACACTTCACACACCTCCACCAGATCAAGTGTGAACACTGAACGGTATTAGTTCTACAATGGTTCTACACAATCTACTCTGGGTACAATATTGGAGGCTGAGTTGGAGGCGCAGCGAAATGACCTTCAATTGGCAAGGTGACGATTCCGATACGGCACCTGGTGGGCAAATTTGAACCAGTTTAGGACGTAATTCAAGGTCATGTTTGTTATTGTGTTCTCAGTGGGTTTCATATTTTATGAATACCATTCAACAAATTACGTTAATTTTAAATTTTCTCTTTTTGCTTCTCTTGAGTATACAAGACATGAACTTTATATCAATTGCCTAATCAATTCTATATTATTTCATAAATTAGTATCAACAAATCTCTGATAATACGCAAAATCAACTGTGTTTGGTTGCTGGTTGAACTAGTAGAAGGTTCCAATGGAAAAATGTAGGACCTATAATGTCCTCTAATATGAATTTCCTGCTCTCAAGAAGTCTTTTCTGATAATGAAAAATCAGTTCAGTTGAATGGAAAAAATGGATAAACGTTGAGAATCCAATATGAGTTTGAAAAGTGGGTGTATGCAGGTCCAACAAAAACTTCCTACCTTTCTTCACTTCATTGGTCCAATAATAATAACAACAAGGTAAATTTGTGATTCATTGATATATTAATTACTGATGAATAACTCTTATTTGCAGTGCCTATCTGAGAGAGAACATGATTGAAATGATCAACAGTTCATACCCATTTTGTTTATGGGGAAATGTCTCCAGGACTTGGAAAAATAAGTATGGCTGTTTTTCTTTCAAATATTTTTATAAGAAAAATAAAGAAGCAAATTCAATGCCTTTGACATTTGAACTGCAATACACAAAGCTGGGCAAGAAAAAAGACATTATGAACATGTGCAGGTGGGTAATTTATTGTTTTATTTCTAATGCTTGACTCATATAAAAATCTTGTTCATGACATCCTGCCTAGGCCTTCATAGATTCCTATTTTGTAGTATCATCTTTGTAGTAAAATAGCCAATGCAGAGTGCATGCACTTTCAAAATGATTAAGTTAAAATACAGCTCCCAATTACATTCATATGAGCAAAAACAGTAGCATATTTTATAGATATATAATAACCCTGGTACAAACAGATCATTGTAGGTAGCTTACTTCTTACTTCATAGCTTGAATTGAATCTTTGAACATACATTGAAGTGACACAATCTATTTCTATTTGAATATTTAGATTGTGTAATAGCTAATAGATATGGTTTGTTTATAGTAGGTACTAACATTTCTTAAATTTTTCAGCAGGGGAGGAGTTGCCATCCAGGGTATCTTGCAATTGAGTGCAAATAATTATACAAATTGTAACCAAAACCCAGATTCCTTGAAGTTGAATTCAAGTTTTCAAGGAGATATCACTGATTATTTGGGTACTTGAACATATCCATGACATTTCATACTTGAACATATCCATGACATTTCAAATTGTATCTTGGAATAATGTATTCATAATTTTACTGCTTGTATGTTATTATTAAACTGTATTTAATCATAAGTAGAAGTTCTACTTTTTTTTTTCTTTTTGTAATGTTTTATTGTAGGTTTTCAAAATTCATATTTCAATTCCACAACTACCTCAATCAACACCTCATTCTTTTTTGATGCAATATCAAAGTTTCACTTTATTATCTTTACTGATTCCTTTTAAAATAGGTACCTACCAGGTAGATACTTACTTTTGCTCATTGTTAATTCATTTCTACATAATATATGAAAGTCCTGGATTTCAAATTCATTTATAATTGTGAATTTTCATGAAGGTATCTTGTGAAATAATTCAGGGAAAACAGTATACATGAGCACTGAGGGAAGGAGTATACTGGAAGATCCTTCTATTTGTAGGTACTTCTTTCTTGACTTCTTTGGAGTGGCATAAGTACAGTAAAACACATGTTATGTCAATGTACTTTTATTTTCAAAAATTATTATTAATTCAGTTCCAAAATATAGGAAACATAATGAACTATACAGATTGATAAAATAGATATTTTCAATTAGATGAGTTTAGGATTACCAAATGATATCAAATCACAAAATGTATGATAATAAACTGTGTAAATACATTAACTGAAATCCTAGGTCATTTGATCAATGTTTTATGTGGAGGAATTCCAAATTATTCAATGATTTCATCAATATGGTGAAAAAACTAGCTTTAAAAGATATTAAATGAATTCCAAAAAGAAAACTCAGTCTAGGGTGCCACCTACCTCAACTCTAAGTATATTAGGCATATTCACATTATGAAAAGTGTGTTATATGGATACAATTCACACACATGGCACAAAGGATCATGACAATTTGCTGTTATTGCAGTGGAGCACCATAATATATGAGGTATGGGAGTTGCACTGTAAACAATCCTCAAAGCCTGGAAGTAATATTGTTGAAGATAGGCCATTGATAGTTGTATCTACTATTAAATCCACAGTAATGTCAGGATGCCTTTGGTGTTGAATTTTTTCTTGGTTCAGACTCATTAGAGCTGGTTGCTGCTGATTTCTATTGTATGGATCAATAGCACATGATTCTGATGGCTATAATATTTAGCACAAAATAGTCAAATAGGTTACACATTGTTTAGGGATGCTTTTCAATATGTTTACAGAAGGCTGTTCACTGTTGAAAAACTTCACTCCTGGTATCACTATTTGTGTTCTGTAGGATCCTTTTGCTTGAAGAGTGGAGTTATAGAGGTATTATGGTGAATATATCAGCTTCTGATGATAGTGGACATGCTTGTGATTTTTGATATCCCATAAAACTGTCCCACAGAAATGCACTGGTTTGAAGAAAGCTCAGACTATTTGGTCCACGATTCAGTCAGTAGGTAACAGTTATTTTCCTCACATCACGATGAAACAGTATGATCCAACAAAAAATTTTATTTCAGTAAAAAGTTCAACAATAATCTCAAATAACACGATGAAATATCAAGAAGAAAATGTATGCAAATCTCAAGAAATTTTGTAAACAAACTACACACTCTTTGCCGCCATCTTGTTTTGAAACAGCGCCCCCAACGGTCGATCACCTTGCCAATATTCTTTGATTGAGCCACAGGGCTGTTCCAGTCAGTACTTTGGTACTAGATTTAGTACCTTTCGAAGATGTGAAGTACCAAAGTACTTTTTGATGAAATCTAGTACTAAACGAGTTTTGAGATTCTTGGGTTCACATTGTTCACCAAGTGGATAAAAATAAATGAGAACCAACATTTTCACTCTCACCAATTGGCGCTACTGAAACGTGATGTCAGTGTCGTCAAAAATCCCCAAATTTTGCCGGAAAACCGTAATGGCCTGTTTCATCGAATATTTTCGAAAAAAATGATGTAGAATATTCAAACAAATAGAACACATTAAGACTTGAGCCGTATTACGTTTTTTACTCTCAATGTGGAACTTTAAGACCAATTCTTACATTGACGGAAAAGAAATTGTAGGAAGATGCAAAATGGCACGAAAATAAGAAGTTTATTTATCAGTTCTACCAACCCTGAATTCAGGTTTCATTGTTTCATTGTTTCATTGTTTCATTGTTTCAGTTTATTTTTGTCATGAGTTTGGTATGTATGTACATCTCTTCCTTTTTGAGAATACTTTAATTACTTTGAATTCAAGTTTTCTTTTCGATATTTTCATAAGGTGAAATTATTCCACTCATATTTGTTCCTCAGGCGACTCGAAATTGCGAATAAAAACTAAGCAAGCACCTGGGGGCGGCAAATTTGAAGAAAATTGAAATTCAGTACTAAATTCTTATTTCTAGTACTCTTTCGAAATGTGATCTAGTACTATATATTTTCGGCCAGGAACAGCCCTGTTGGGATATGTCTGTTGCTGTTGGTTGCTGTTGATTGTTGATGGACTGTTGACGCTGTGGCTGTCGACAGTGTCGTCTGTCTGTCAGTTCTTGTGCTCCCGTGATATGTCTTGACGCGTGTTGCGAGTGGTGGTTAATTTTAGTGGTGTGAGATAAAATGGCAGAAAATGGACGAGAAATTCTGGAACAATCCAAACCTTCAGGTTAGATTTTCTCTGTATATTTCCTTGAACAGGGAACTCTGTTTGATGCAATGGTTGGGAATGGATAATTTCCATTAATTCTGGAGTCATTGTTATATAAGTTGAAAAGTCCACCATCTGTGGGTGCAACAAACTGGTGGATAGTTTCCACAACTTTTTTATCTATTTTCAACAATCGTCGCGAAATCTCCAGTTTTTTATCTACTATCTACTTGCCTACCAATTGTTAAGTTTGTTATTGTTCAGTGTAAATACAAACACGTAAGTACATATTTTCGTTCTTTAACCTGTCATTTCTGAAGTTATTGTGAGTTCTTTCAGTTCAGTATTTTTTGATCTAATGAATAGATATTTTCTTTTTTTATGATACTAAATATAGGTACAATGAAATGTAGAAATACTAGTTAGGTATTCAACAACTACATAATAATTATGTAGATTTTCATTTGTGTTTGTATCAACAGAAATAATTTTTGATACATCTAGGATGACCTAATGGTTATTAAACTAATAAGTTTCAAATTCAATCAGACGGTTTTTGTGGCAGTCCGGTAAGTAGATATCATATTCAAACAATAATCTCAACAACAATTGCATGATGAATATCGAAATTGTACTTGTACAGTGAAATCTTTCCATGATTTTCAATAGGTTGGTAGGTGTGATCACCATCCCTGAAAAAACTGAACATTCCATAACTATTTTCTTGGTCATGGTCAGTAGGCTTTTACAACATACCTATTAGCTACTTTAAAAGAAAGGTGCACTAGAGGAAGTAGAGATTAATTATATTTTGTGATATATTAATTATTAGAAACCTCCTTAGAAGCCTACCAGTTGTTGAACATTTTGGATAGGTGCTCTTTTTATTTATGCTCTTGAATGGGGTCACATCTCAGGTCAAGTCATACAAACAATCCATCTGTGAGTTAATTATGCAATTATGTGTACATAAATTTGTTGAACAATAATATCTTGGTAGGTATACCTATTTATGTTTATGTACCTACTTTATTGATGATAATATTCTAATTATACCTCTATGTACATACATACAATATCTCTCATTTCAGTTCATATTTTTTATGTTAGGTAATAAAATCCATACTTATTTACTCATAAGCTTGCTCAACGTTTTTCGACCATTGTACATATACAGGGTGTCCCAAAATTGCTGGGACACAGAGTGACCATGTTGAATAAAGGTCAAAATTAGTTGATGGGAAAGCTACCATTTGTCCATGAGAAGAGTTCAAAGTTTACATAAAAAACACAATTTTGAATGCTGTCAGAAATGAAATTTGATAAAAATGTATTTTAGAGGACTTTAGAGAAATTGTAGATGGATTGAAATTATCCTCATCCCCTGACATTTTTCTCAGAACTTTCTTAAGAGTGGTAATATGGTTCTCAAATTTTTTCAACAAGAAGACAGATTAATTATCGTCGTTTTGTTACTCTTGTACTAACTTCATACTCCCCATATATCCCAAGGAAAATATGTTTTTATTTAATAATGCTTACAGATATTCACAGCACAAGTTTAATAAAATCATAATATAAAATTCAGTTGACAGTGGAAAAAAGGCAGAACGTTTTTCATAATAAATGTTGAATATGATCAATACAAAGGTCAATTTGATGTAAAAAATTGAGATGCACATGTTATTTAATGTAAACTTAAAATTCTTCTCATGGACAAATTGTACATTTTGGTATATAAATAAATTGGGTCCAGTCAACTTATTACTCGACTCATTATGACCTCTATTACATGTGGTATCTCTGTGTCCCAGCAATCTTGGGGCACCCTGTATGATCAAGGACAATCAAGGAACATGTCAAGAACATTGAGGTTGGTATTATGTTATCAAAAATATCAATAAAAAGAGATACTCCACCACCATCAATTGTGTAGAATAGGAGAAGGAAGTGTTGGGGGAAGAAGGTTCTGAAAAGAAATATATTATAATAAATGGGTCCTTAATAACTCAATTTCTAATTACAGTATTTATTTTTCAAAGTACCTATGCCATTTTGAGCCTTTGAGGATCATTCAACGATATTTCATCTAAAAAATATATTGTCCTTTTCTTACAATTTTATCTGAATTAGACATTTCCTCTGTATTGTCATTACATATACAGGGTGATTCATGAAAAATGGGAAATCTCTGAACTACAGATAGTAAACACCAAAATATGAAGATTTAACCCAACATGCCTCATATAAATGTTGCATATACAGGGTGTTCAAGGGAAAATTTTATTTTGAATTTTTCCTTAACTTTGGTCAAATATTTACTTTGAAATTCTGTTTGTTGTTCGGCATTGTTAGTGATTGTCATCATTAATTAACTGTCTTTTTTCCACTATCACTTCCCTAACTTTATAATTTAAAATGATCAGAATGTTATAAGTGGAACAAATTCAAGAGAAAATAACACAAAAACTGTTAGAGCTAGACAATTTGAAAAGGAGTAAATTTTTCATGTGAAGTTGAACAGGCTCTCAGATTTTTCACTTATTTTGATCATCTTTCAATGGACAAAGAAGATATGATGTAATTTACCAAAGAAGTGCCACTAGCGCTCTATGAGCAATCACAAAATAAGTATTTCTCATGACAGAAAACCTGAAACTACAAAATTTCATATTCATGCTGTTGAAATTCACAAACTTATTGAGACATTCTGAAATAAAATCTCCCCCAAGAACACCCTATATCTCCCGAACAAACATTATTATCAGGCATGTTGGTATGAATCTCAATATTTTAGTTTAACTATGTAGTTCAGAGATTTTTAATAAGGCGCCCCTCACTTTTTGGAAGAAATTAATCTAAATACGAATTTTCCAGTGAAATTGAAAATATATGCCCTCAAATATACCACCTTATTTTTTGTTTATATCTCTGTTTACATTGTTGGTATGTCCATGTCCAACAAAATGTTTCATAAAAAATTTGGATTCCTTTTGGTATTGTTTACTAGAAGTCTCTAGGAGTTTTCAGCACTTTACTAGTGTTTCTTTTGATAATTTCTAATTTAACATTTCCAATTCAGTATAAAAATGAGCAAATAAATCACGCTGTATTTACATGTGTACATGTTTGCAAGGTGCAGAAACTTGTTTGTTGTTGGAGAATAATGAATCAGTGAAGGGTGAACTGCTCAACATTACAAAGGAAATGAATACAACGAAAATAAGAAATTATCAAGAAACATAAACGTAGGTACCAATAATTGAGATAATTGGTAGTTTTGATTAATATTACTGAATCTGACAGTTAAGATTAATATTGATAAGTTGGAAAAGTGTTTTGTTTATTTTTCTTGGAATGTTTCCGAGAGAATCAACATAGCAAGAAGCATGTTATCATTGATAACACAGACTAAAACCCGAGATAAACCCGTAGGAGAGACCAATAGGTGTCTATCAATATCAATGAAAAAAAGGTAATATGAGTGTAAAATCGTGTGATTAATGGTTGGATTAATGTTTCCGGTAATTCAATTAATCAGTGGAATCAACATTGCCATTGTTCGAGCTCTTGTTATTGATTTTGTTTCTCACCGGAAAATCCTTTATATCGCTCATCTTTACCTAAATTTCATGTCTATAGGAAGGAATGAGGTATGGCATTATGAAACGTTATAATATAAGAAGATGTATCATGTTGAAGCAGATCAGATGTTTTGAAATACATTTTGAATTGGAAAATTCTCATTCCAAAACTTGACTGTCCAATGTGGGTACAACGGGTGTCCCAATTTGATGAGGAATGAAGGAATTGCGGATTTCTGGATTGAAAAATACAAAATCTCTAGTTATTTACTTAATAACTCGGTAACTGTGAACAATCATGTAGTGAGAACTAGGGCATTAGTTGAATATCTGGGAGTGCACTTTGATCAAAAACTAAACTTTAACCATCATACCCAGTTGATGAAAAAAAAAGTGCATCACAAGAGCTAAACATTTTCGAAGCCTAACCTACAAGAATAAAGGCATTAGCAAAAGAACTGCAGCACATATTCACAAAACCATTTGCCGCCCAATTCTTGAGTATGCTCACCCAATATACATAATAAACACGAGGAAGACGGCACTGAACAATTTGGAAGTAGCAGAAAGAGCTAGCCAGAGAGCCATTACCAAAATCCGGCACCCTCAAAATCCCCTTCATCATCCACCAAACGAACTTCTATATTGGCTGACCAGGGTGCAACCAATTTCTGAGAGACTGAAAAAGCTAACGTTGAAGTTTTCTGAAAACGAATCCAATCTCTAAATTATCCAATTCCAGGGTTTACAGAGAGATCCAACAGTGAACCCAAGACGGAAGTTTCCGGAAAATACACTATTGGAATGCTTAATCAATTCAGAAGACTGAAATTCCTTCAAAATTCTCGCCTCACAATAAACTTTTCTTCTTTTTTTTTTAGCAAATTTAATAATTTCATATATCTTGTACATACAATAATGATGAATTTAAACTCGGTCGGTAGCCTTTTGGGTATCCAATAAAGCTCCTTAATTATTATTATTTTTTACTTACTAACTTGTCTACTGACGTATTTACTTACTTACCACCTACTGACTTACTTACTTACTTATTTACCTATTCACTTATTTACTCACTTACTTACTTATTTAATTATTTTGTTCCACCGTTAGATGTCTCAAAGTTCAAGAAAATATTTTTCGAGGTTACTCAAGAAACTCGTCATGAACTTTTCATGTCGAGGCACGATTTTGACAAATCTCGCTCAAATCGAATTATAAGTAAAAATTCTATGAATTCAATAATTCAATATTTTACTGTACTGCAATTAATGGAAAACACTTCACTGAACACGATTCGATAGTTGTGTGATTTTGTAGCATTCATTTTTCACCTCTCCCACCCTCTTATCAAAATAATTCGAATTCCAATTTGGTGCTCAGAAAATGAAAGTTTAAATGATAGATGTGAAATACTTACATGAACACGATCAG